GATTTATGTTGAAAGTTGAATTAGGTACTTTTTTGGAGCTTGAAGTTATCAGATTTGAGTATCAGAGTATGGTTTCTCATTTCATGATATCATGCAAGCTGACAACTTTAAATGCTCTCCCCTCTCCAACCCTGCTGGCTAGTGGCTGCTGCCAACTGCCAAGCAATTCCAACAATGGATATGGAATTGGAAGAAATAATTGATTGAGTGGCTAAATGTCTATAATCTAGTTTCTACTTTCTAGTTTAGCAATTCAGTCATTACAAGTATTGTAACTTGAATTCAGTCTGAATCAGTCACAGTATAAGTATTGCAACTTGCAAGAATGTTTTATGATGTGGAAAATGGTCTTTACAAATCAAATGGTATATGACTCCTTGTTGTAGCCTCAAAACTCTAGGAGGGGATAGGTTTTCCGTGACAATAAGTGTGAATGTTGAGAGCTCGACAAAATCCCGCGCGCACCACAATATGCGCTCAATGTAGCATAGATACCAAACTAAACGTTTCTGGAGCTTTATTCCACTCAAGGATGGTGGGAGCAACTACATGTACACCTATGCGTACAAAGCCCGGAGGCACACTGTGACACTGAGCCTCACCTCACAAAAACACACACTATTTGTAGTGCTGGGGCAGTGAATTAGCTCCTATGTAATTACAGAAAGAACTCCCACCCCGTCCCCTTTTCATGAAGTGTCGTATATGTAAAAATCAATGTACAGAGATGGTAATGGTACCGTTGGATAGGTCAGAATGTCAGCTTTCAGATGAGACTAAACACGTATGTGTAGCACAACTCAAGTAGGTAGACACTATATTTAAAGATCTCAGCAGCTACTTAGTTCCTATCTAATTACTTAGAGAACTCTCCCACCCACTCCCCTTTCATGAAATGTCATGAAAGTATAAATCAACGTACAGAGATGGCAGTGGTACCATTGGATAGGGCAGAATGTCAGCTTTAAGATGAGACTAAAAACCAAAAATGCCAAATACAAAAATTTTAGAGTATACCCCCCCTTAAAGTTACTCTGAAGACCTAAGCTATGAGTATTCACTATTTCTAATTAATAATTCATTTATTGTACTTCTCAATTTAGCAAATTTTATCTTAATGTAAGATTTAAACATTATTTTAATATGAGATTTCCAAGAAAATTTTTATTGTAATATTGTAAAATTAAAGAAAATGATAGTGATGCAACATCTAAAATTTTTAGATTGTAGAATGACATCAGCATAAATATTGTTTATAAAAGATAAATATTGAAAAACCTTCAAGTTGTTAGTTGTATACCGTATATCCAATCTATATTTACATATGTTAATGATTATTCTGTGCAGTCATGTATGCTGGAGACGGCTTGTGAAGCATGAGCAGAGGCGCAGGCGCCGTCAAACTGCGGCAAAAGCAAGAGATGCTGGTAAAATCTATTTGATTTTTGCACATATTTCTTTGATTAAAAGCCCATATGAATAAGCACAAGAATATTTTCTGATAATATTTTTATGTCTAATTCCAAAACATTACCAAACTAGACTACTTATCTTCCATGAAATTATTTTATCTTTGATTGAAATTTCATATAATTTTTTAATCACAGTGTATTTATGATTAAATATAAGTTCTCCATTTTATCTATACCTGCAATGCTCTATGTTCTATCTATATAGTCACAGGTCTTTAATGCCTTGAAGATTTGTGACAGGTGGGGTAAACAACTCTTGGCCTAAATCCTACTCATGGAAAACTCTTATCCAGAGTTATGTTGAGTGTCCTACATAGCGCAGGTCCATGCTAAGCTATGCAATATTTATACTTTAATGCCATCATCCTGTTTACCACAATACAAAATGTTGCATTTATGTATGTTGTTTGTGTGCTTGATCATTGTTACAACTTGAGGGTACAAAGCTAATGTTGGATGTTCACAAGTGAATTTGCTCTCCTTTCCTCAGCTCAAAATTTGCTTCAGAAGAGTCCTAGATATCAGGCAAGAGTTGCAGCTGAACAAGCAGCTGCTGATGTTAAGCAAGAAAAAGATGAATTGGCCCATAAGTTGCGTAAAGCTGAGTTCCAGGCCCGGGACCTTGCTCTTCATTCCCTTTTTCTTTATGAAAAAGCCATGAAAGAGGGAAAGATCCAGCAAATCCGAAAAGATCAAGTAATGTTAGATTTAGCTGCATGATTGACAGATTTTGGTTGAATGGTTTTGCAGGGATAGATGTTTTTTGGAAAAAGAATTTGAAGTCAATTTTTTGTTTCAGAAAAATACAGCTATGATTAATTTGTTCCAACTAATTTTTTAAAACATTACATACATATATAGAATCTGAATGAATTACATTTGTCTGCATGTATTTTTAACCATATATTATTTTCATTCACTTTTGTTTCAGGCAAAGATACCTAAATCTGCTTCAAATGGTCTCTTAGCAAGTGCAGAAACCTCTGAGGTGTGTTCCAGACCATCTACTCCACTTGATATTCTGATAGCATTTCTATCAGTTCACAGTAATGTGATCTGGCTGAACAGTCTGACTCACCTTGTGGTTGTCTTCAGTTCACAGTCCACTCCTCGTCTGGCGTCCAATATCCTTTGTTACTCGACTTCAATCCGTAAAAAAAACTAGTGAAATTTATTTTCTGAAATCAAATTGTTTCCCAGAAGTGCAACATTGTAGTCTTCACTCTTCAAGTTTCCTTGAATGTGGTGTGGTAATCGGGAAAAATGTAGTAATTCAATACATTAATTGTATACTGGAGTGTTTGTTGTTTTTTGTCTACATTAGTCATTAAGATTCAATTCAGAATTTTAGCTAAATTTTGTGGACCACTTCTATTACCTCTAGCATTATCATTTGAAAATTAATTTTAATTGGTAATGTGAGTTTCTTATATTGAATGAATTCCATACATTTTTATTCATTTGCATATCTTGTTTGAACATTTTTATTTCATTTTAAGATCATTTAGTGTTATTCATTAGAACTTCTTCAATGGCTGTTACCATGACATCAACTTTCATTACGATTATAATCTTATTTTCTTTTGATCAAACATAACTTAATTGATCACCATGCTAAAGAAAAGTTGTTACAATAAATCATTGTACTTTTTGTAATCTTACTCTGGTTTGTATGCAGCTGTTTCCAATAAGTTAAGTATTTTTAACACTTAATATTTATTATTGTGTGAGCTTCCTTAGTGAGCTGTTCACAGTTGTGCGGTGTTGCAGAAATCTCAGCTGCTGCAGCAAACAAGGGATGCTCTTGGCCAGGTATGCTATGTAATGACAATTAATTTTGTAAGGTTAAAATCAAAATTAATTTGTTCATAAATTTGCTGCACTGGTATTTTTTTAAGTTAAATATGTATATATGTCTCATATTTTTGAGCGTTTTTCTTTTAATTCTACTTTTAACTTCTAAAAATTGTGTTATATCTTGTTCGCATCGTAGGTATAATTCTTTTTGAGTGGCGTGCTCACTGTGACTGATCTATGGCAATCTCTTGATATAGTGTAAATGTTATCAACTCAGCCAGCTTAAGCCTTTGCACAGCTTTTCACTCATTCCCCACTCTCATAAAATAGGGATTCTTACGCTCCACCTGCCTATTTCATGCAAAAGAATATTTAAGCAAATTACGTACATATTTCTTTTAAACCACACGTAGTACCATCTTATTTGATAATATATGAAAACAATTAGTCCTACATAAACAACGGTTAGGTATAAAATATAAAAAATATAACTCAGTACTCGCTGCAGTGAGTGACAGAGCGCGCATTTTCTCGTCGACGAAAACTTGAGGTCACGGACAGACAGACAGACGGACATGGCGAGCACAAAAGTGCATTTTTTCCATAAATGAGAAAATGCGCTAAAAAGACAGTTGCGCCATCATTACTGAAACAGTGAAGATGTTTAGCCAAAAATGGAACCGTGTTGCATTTCTTAGCAGCAAACATAAAATAATACAGCGTTTTCTCGCTTTTGTGGCTGCAGTAAACTTTCTTTCATTTTTAGCGCATTTTCTCATTTATGGAAAAAATGCACTATTGTGCTTGCCATGTCCGTCTGTCTGCCTGTCCGTCCGTCCGTGACCTCAAGTTTTTGTCGACAATAAAATGCGCTCTCTGTCATTCACTGCAGTGAGTACTGAGTTATATTTTACAACACTTCTCTTTAACTTCACTTCTTGTTTGTCTGTTTGTCTGTCTGTCTGTCTGCTACAAATCTTCTAATCGAAATTTAACACACTTCTACTTATCCTATCGATCTGAAATTTTGCATACTTGTTTAAAGTTGGAGACAATGCATGAATCAAATGTCAAAATAAATGATTTTGAAAAAGTAAAAAAAAAAATTTCAATATTAAAAAAATGGAACAAATAATTTTGTCAGCTACAAATCTTATAACTGATATTTGACACACTTTTACCTGTCTAATTGATCTGAAATTTTGCACACTTGGATGAAGTCAGAGGCAATGCATGAATCAATTAATAGAATTAATAATTTTGAAAAAAATTTATATATTAAAAAAATTGAAAAATGAATTTTTTCAATATTCGAAAATTAAATGAGAAATTCATGATACATCTTTAAGATTGGAGACACTGGATTCTTTGGAAGTGTTGTCTTTAAAAAGTAATTTTTAATCGTATATTATTTGTGTACCATTCACTGCACTGTGCTGCATTCCTGGCCTTGAAACGAGAAGTACGGTACTCTTAATTTTTGTATTAAAAGTCGTTATATGAACACATTGAATGTTTGCAGTTCCATAATAACGCTCTCTAAATCCACCATCCCTACGTAACGCTTGTTTCTGCTGCCCTTTGTCAAAGAACCATAAAGGCTACCTTTCAGTCGCTTCTTGGCCATATCATAGCTATACCTACTCTCCGAAATAATCATGACTGCCGGGGCGTGCGAAGTGGCGACCCATCACAGTGCGATTTTCATATGACATACTACTGTACCTACCAAGTCCGCCGTGAAGAACTGGATTAATGCCGCCTAGTTCCTCCGATCGTTAGAACTGCTCGACTCTGGTATCCTTTACTCGTTTCCAATACGGCTCTCCCTACGTCCAGATAACAGAGATCTATTCCAGCCTCCGTACCAGCTTTTCTCATACCTTACCATACCCTCGTATCTGCTCATTTATTTTAATGACAACCCTGTGGACGCGATATAAGTTTTTGCCCACCTATCTTCATTAGCGCATCTTCAACTTTTTTTCGCGTTCCGTTTATACCGTCTGTTTCCCATTAGCCAGACGCGCTCCACACATTAAATATGCTTGCTCAGCCTGGCATTGAAAAATATCAAGTGCATTAATTTTTTTCATTTTCTGCTAACGTTGGTGAAACTGTTTGAGAATTTGTTCTGCATTAGAATACCTAGTATGGACTTGTATGTCATGTTTTTTTCCATACTTAGATCCTAAAAGGTTTCAAATTACTGGAAAATGCTTGATTTGAGGTGGACTTACTACCTATATATACCACACGTACTGTTGTACTAAAGTATACTGGCTTTAACTAATAAATTATCTATCTCTATTTATCATCCTTTCCCGTGTGTAAGGATATTATTTGTAATGTTTTGTTTTCATTTCTTCACAAAATAAAAAACTTTAATATCCTGGAGCAGAGTGCGGAAAGGTCGCAGAACCCAGAGCCGCCACGACCTGCCATCGTGCCTCCCCAGCAGGAGGTCTGTCCGTTCTTCAGCAAGACGGGAGCCTGTCGCTTCGGTGATCGATGCTCCAGGTACTGGCGACCAGCTTGATGTGCTCAGCCTATGATATTACGTGACAATATGAAAGCAAAGAAAACGTCAAGCAAGCTCACCATATCTTTGATGAAATCGTTTTCATCGAACGTTTTGATTTCATATCTTCAATCAAATCGAATTCATTGAAGATCATTTTTATGTCTTTTTGCATTCCTCTCTCTTGCTACTCTTGATCCCCGCACATGTTGTTCAGATGTCACGTGTACCCCGCCGTGTCGTGCACTCTGCTGCTGCCAGGCATGTACGTCGCCCCCGGTCAGCTGCCAGACTCTCGCAGCGACTCTGACGCCATGCTGGAGTACGATGAAGCCGACCGCCGGCTTCACTTCAGGTTAATACTCGTGCTTTTAAAACTCTGCATGGGGCAGCCACTAACTCGTCTGTCATTGGTGGGTTCAGCTTTAAAAGCTAATAGTGATTGGCTGACGGAGTCACAATAGATTTTTGATTGTTCGGTCCTTGGTCTCCTGCTTTTCCTCGCGTCTGATAGAACGCTACCATATTGCACTTCAGAGCCTTAATCCTTTATCAATTAATTTCTTTGAGTAGCTATTATTAAATCTACGGCGTATAATAACAACTTTATTCAATTTCCTGCAGATTACAATTTCGTTAATTTAGAATTGTTTTAACGTAGCACCACGTATTGCTTTTTGTTTTGAATTGAATTTAAGTTGTAATTTACGTGTCTTAGACAATCTAAACTATCTTCTATTTTCTTTTAAAGTCATACCGATCAGCGACGTATTTATATTCAATCTCTTGTGGCAATCGAGGAGAGAGTAGAGGCAATGTTTTTGCATTTAGAAACGGCCCTTGTCTAGACATGCTGACCAAACTTTCCTCATTGATTATATCTTTATCAACTGTAAAACATTCACACTGTATTAAAATTTCATTTACGTACCATCAGGGAGTTCTTCTTGGACGTGACGGATGAGGCAAGAAAGTTTGGCCGCATCTGTGAAGTGCGCGTGTGTGCCAACAGCGCCGCTCACCTCCGAGGCAACCTTTATATCAGGTGCAAGAACCTCCCGTAGTGAAGTCTTTATTGTTCTATTGAAATAATTTTATTCATTTGAATTGAATTGTATTTCTAATTTTCATCGCATAGATTTAGGCCTGATTTCATTTAATTGCCAAAGAGCTTCTTGTTCAAATGGTTTGTGCATTCGAAATGGATTGTACACCCGTGTCTGCAATCTGCATTGTAAATTGTTTATAACAAAAATTTTATTATGTTGAAACGATATTTATTGTTTCCATGGCTGTATTAGTATTAGTAAGTATTCCATGGTTTAGCCAGCCACCCAAAATTTTTTTGCTGCTTCCTCTTGCAACATAGTTGTTCTCTCAAAATTAGGTTGCTCTGAATGCAGTTCAATCCAGTGTCCACCTCTAAAAGTAAAAATTCAAATAATTTCGAAGCACTGAGATGCATTTCCATAAGGAATATCATTCATAAGTGTGTGGCTTTCAATCAATTTTTCTATAACTGAAAAATATTACTTAGTGGGAGGGACTATATTAGTCTTTTAGAGCAAATGAAGAGACAGTTTCAATTTTACCATCTTTTCGTATTTCAATGTTGACAACATTTTCGGAATAGAAAAATGCTTGTTCTGGTATATTCAATTTGGTAACAAATTGAACAAGTCTCTAAAGGAAAGTTTGAAATGAATGATTAAATATTCTAGTTACTGGGGTTGAATAAATAAATGTCTTGCTTACTCTCTGGTATGAGCGAACGAGCGATGCGTGTGCCGCGGCCGCTGGACTGCACGGCCGTTACTACGGAGGCAAGATTGTGTCCGTTATTTTTGTGCCTCTTGAGAGCCTCCGCAACGCCACGTGTGGTGAGATGGACGAGCTTTGTCGCTAAGATGTTCATTTGCTTCAGTTATACTTCCATGAAATGTTATTTGAATTATATTATCGTTATAGTATAAATTTTATTAACGTTTCCCGTTTAACGATATTTCTAAATTATCTATGAAAACATTTGTAGTAATGAACTTCATGTCTCCTTACATCTTTAACAAATTTTCTATATTCGTGAGGAATATCTGTAATATTAATTTCAAACGTGTTACGAATGTGCACCTACAATCATTTGCATTGTTTTGGAAAGACTTCTGCTTATCGATGAAAATTGTTTATATTGCGCCTAATTTTTAGTATAAAGTACGCCTTGCCTCTAGAAAGAAAGTAAAGTTGTTTAATTAATCGCAGATAATGAATAAATTTTGCCAAGTAAGGAACCTCTTAAACAACTTTTTAAACTCTTTTCTTGACGTTCCTTGATTCGCGGCAGGTCTATTCTTCCGGAACATGTGCCACAAAGGCGGAGAATGTAACTTCATCCACCCCTACCCCAATCCAGACGGCGCTTATTTCTCTGATCCGCGGTGAGTATTTTTGGAATATCATGTTATTTTTTTTGGAACCTTCCGTCTGTTTTCCCATTCTTTCTCCAGGTGTTTAGTTGGATTCACAGTCACCTTTTTATGCAAGATTTCTTGAATATTTCACGCTTTAAAATATTTACGTACAACGCTTATTATTTAATATTTCACGTACAACGCTTGTCGTACGTGGCGGCAACCATCAGTGCAAGTCATAGTCCTCAATGTCAGGCGGTTAAAGACGTCCCCAAGTTATTTCTTCATATTTAGTTTCTTCTTCGTTGCCTGCTATCAAAATGCTGCTTCTCTCCCGTTTCTTTGAACTTATTTGGTTTTCTGTATTTATTTCGAGCTCTGTAAATTAAATTTTTTTTAAATGTTGTTGTGAAGTATTATTGCGTCTATTATTTTATTTTACATTAATTTCATTATAAATGATGGCTTGAAGCATGAGTAACTCAATTCTTTTATTTCCCTTTTATGTTGTAATAAATGTTGTTTGAATTATAAGTAACTTGATGCTTTTATTCCGCATTCAGTTGGTATAAATGTTGAATTAAAGTGTGACTCACTATTGTTCATTCGTCAGACGAGGCCTCCATGACCGCAGTGGCGCGTCTGGGCCTGGCTCAGACCGCCGTCCCAGATCATCATCTCCCCGACCTCAACCGTCGCGGGCAACTGTTAATGGAAGACCAGCGAGATCCTCTCGATCTTCTAGAAATTATACAGCGAAGCGTTCTAGATCGCCTGGCTCTACAAGTTCGAAACGCTCTAGATCGCCAGGATCCACAAGATCAAAACGCTCTGGGTCGCCTGGCTCCTCAAGATCAAAACGCTCTAGATCGCCTGGATCCTCAAGATCAAGACGCTCTAGATCGCCTGGCTCCTCAAGATCAAGACGCTCTAGATCATCTGGATCCACGAGATCAAAACGCTCTGGATCGCCTGGATCCTCAAGATCAAAACGCTCTAGATCGCCTGGCTCCTCAAGATCAAGACGCTCTAGATCGCCTGGATCCACAATATCAAAACGCTCTAGATCGCCTGGCTTCTCAAGATCAAGACGCTCTAGATCACCTGGCTCCTCAAGATCAAAACGCTCTAGATCACCTGGATCCACAAGATCAAAACGCTCTAGATCGCCTGGCTCCTCAATATCAAAACGCTCTTAGATCACCTGGCTCCTCAAGATCAAGACGCTCTAGATCACCTGGATCCACAAGATCAAAACGTTCTAGATCACCTGGCACTTCAATATCAAAACGCTCTAGATCACCTGGCTCCTCAGGATCGAAACGTTCTAGAATACATAACTCTTGAAGATCAATATGATCTTGATCATCTAGATCATCAATATCTAAACGTTCCGGGTTGAATAACTCTAGATCACTTATCTCTTTGAATCCTCATATCCTAGATCTCTTTCTCGGCTAGCTGTAAACTTTCCTAATCACCTGTCTGTTCCATCACTGAACATTCTGCATCACTCAATTCTTCGATTTCGATTTGTAAAAGCTGATTTCCTAAATCAACCAGGTCTGGGCGCTCTATATTCACAGTTAAATATGAATGCTTTATATAATCTAATTAATCAAGAGCTAAATGCTCAGTTAAACTCCATTAGGCTTGAGGTTCCGTTCTTTTCTGGTTAAATTTTCCAAGTTTTTGAAAATTCAGCGTTGTTACTTTCATCGAAACTGATCAGGATTTTATTTGTAAGGCCTAGTCTTCTAGTTTATTAAGTTGAGGATACAAACCCTATTATATAGGATGCGTTATCGTGGGTTCCACTTTCATCAGTACTAGTACAATTACTGTGAGCCTTCTCGTTTAGTTATGATGCTAGTTACATAAATAAAGTAAATATTCAGATCGGAATACTTATATTGAAAAGCTTAGTAAAAATTTCTTATCTTCTTTGTTTTTCATCCGCATGTATTGCGCAGAACTCTGAAAAGTTTTGCCGAGTTTAAACTTTGTTTCAATGAGAATTTCAGTACCTGGTCCCCTGTAGCTTGTTTGCTGGTTCGTTACAAGTGGTGCATGTCCAACTTTCCATCTTTCGAAAAAGAAGAATATCTTAGAATTGCGGAGAAACTGTTGCTGGTGTTTAGTGTTTGAGATCTTGGAATATTGCTGCAACAACTGAAGCTCTGCTGCAGCGAAGACCAGTTAAGACTTCATCTTTTTTGTGAAGCGTCTTCTGCGGTGTAGGATTTCTTTGTTATTCTCGGGGAGATGCTTGCTCATCTAAGGGACTCGGCCATCCCTGGATACCCTGGCCAATGTCTACAGCGGTTCAATTTTTGCATTGGAAACGTTACATTTAAGTAGAATTTTAGAATAGTAATAATGGTGGAAGCGTTGATTGGCCGAGCGCTGCCTTTCGTAAGGGAATTTTTACAGCCTGCTGATGCTTTGAACCCACAACTCACGTGTCTAATCATGGCTGCCTTACCTTAAACCCTTCGGTCATTCTGCTGACCCGAATATTTTCCTGATATTAATTGTAATTGAGCAGAAATTGAGGCCGCACAACTTCCTAAAATTACATTTCATGCAACCAATTAATGAAAACTATCACTAACACTAGGTACCATTTCAACCGAATATACGTTTGTGAGTTGCATGTGTTGGACTGTATATACGTGAGTAAAATTATTCTATGAATACATGCATAGAGCGAATACTTCTTTGATCCATTGTATGATGACTGTGCTGATAAAGGTCCCCCGAATGAATTTATTAAGTTAATGGGACCCTCAGTGGAGACTTCTGACGCGTGTCTGTGCTCGTCAGAAGTCCTATGGAATTTCGCGCTCCTAGGGGGATTGTTCCTAAGCGCCCCACCGCTGAGCTCGCGGTGTCTGACTGCAGGTCTCAGTTATGGGGTTAAGTTATTATGTAGGTAGGATTCCTTGCATTAAGTTATTATGTAGGTAGCATTCCTTACATTAAGTTATTATATAGGTAGAATTCCTTACATAAAGTTATTATGTAGGTAGGATTCCTTACATTTCCCTTCTCTGTCTCTCTCGTGCGGCGGCCGACGTCCCGTGTAAGCGACCTCTTGTTCGAGTGTCTTCGTTTCTGTTGCTTTTCACCTGTCCCTCCTTGTCACTTCGTCTCTTTGAGATGCTAACGCTGCTTCTCTCGAGCCAGCTTCAGTGGGCTGGACATCTGAGATCACCTGCCCCATGTGGGTGATGATTAATTTGAGACTCTGAATAATTGAGACCCTCCGCCTCGCTGGCGATGTTAACTTTTGACTTTCGGTGCGAAATAGCTGGATAGCTGATGCGCTAGTAAACCATGCTACTGCTTACTTAAGTTAATGGGAACATTTTCATGTTTGGTGGATGTTAAATCGCTGCCTTGTTCATAACAATATCTTCTTCGACCCATCATTCATGTTTTTGACTGTTTACTTGTTTCTTGATAATTTTGTAACGCTTCTTACGTTTTGAATTTAATCTTTAGCGTTCGGAGGACCTTTAGCATCACAGTAGTCATACAATGGATCAAACGAGTATTTACTCACTTTACCGTGTAAAGGTAAGTAGTAGTAGTAGTATGATGCTTTACTAGCGCTTCAGCTATCAAGCTATTTCGCACCGGAGATCAAAACATAACATCGCCAGCAAAGCCGAAGGCCTCAATTAGTCAAAATCTCAAGTTAATCATCACCCACATGGGCGGAAGGTCTCAATTGTCCAGCCCACTGAAGCTGGCTCAAAAGAAGCAGCGTTAGCATCTCAAAGAGACGTAGTGACAAGGAGGGACAGTTGAAAAGCAACAGAAACTAAGACACTCGAACAAGAGGTCGCTTACACGGGACGTCGGCCGCCCGCACGAGAGAGACAGAGAAGGGAAATGTAAGGAATCCTACCTACATAATAACTTAACCCCACAACTGAGACCTGCAGTCAGACACCGCGAGCTCAGTGGTGGGGCGCTCAGGAACAATCCCCCTAGGAGCGCGAAATCCCAGAGGACTTCTGACGAGCACAGACACGCGTCAGAAGTCCCTCCTGAGGGGCCGTGTACAGGTAAAGATTCGAAGTCCTGTCAGTCACGAAAGACACTCGAACCAGAGGTCGCTTACACGTGACGTCGGCCTCCCAAACGAAAGACACAGAGAAGGGAAATTTAAGGAATCCTATTGATGGAAAAGATATTTTGAACAAGAATGAGTAACACCGAGAAGTCCCGTTAGACAAGAATGTGAAAAAGCCTCTCGTGATATTTTTTTTTGCTTAGATACGGTACGGTAATTTTAGAGCAATATTGGTCAATGTTTTGTGGAACGAAATATTTATTAAGTGATACGGAGTGATATTTTTATTGCTTAGATTCTTGTTATGGCGTTTCTCCGAGGAGCATTGGAAGCAAGCGATGCCGTTAAGGAATGTCTGGCCAAGGCTGGAGTGAAAACTCCCGTAGACTTTCTTTTGGCTGACCTCGAGGCTCTGGCTCACGAGGGCTGCAGCTATCGGGTGAGCTTATCACTAGTATAAGTTTTTTCATCTCTCAGATATGAGCTTTGGAGTAATTCTTTTAAATATTCTAGCTCTTGAACCGTAAACTTGGTTTTTTTTAAAATGAGATTGAGAGAAATGTAACATGATGAGTCACTACGAGCCATAGCCTCTAAACACGCATTAGCTGCATAGCCCTTCTACGCTTACAAAATTGAATGGATCAAATTGTGTAAATAGTAACGCATGTTCCCATCCACAGCAGGAGCAGAGAGTGAACGTAGCGATGATACACTCGTTTGCTGAATTAAACTCCGCCAGGATTTCTCACACAAGAGATAAAGGGGCATCAAACAAAATTTTTTTAAGTACAAAATTTCATTAATTTCACTGAGTATATAAATGAACTCTGGCCTCTAAAATTGAATGCTTTTTCTTACGATCAGAGTAATTAGCGAGTTTTTGTTCGAATAGCGACGCAGTTTTTGTTCTCGTGGTGGTCATCTTGATCCAGTTCGGTCCGACACTAGGGTGTATCAGTGCTGCGCGAACAAAGTGTCATTATTCGCACAGTATGACCTTTTTATTTTTCTTAGTGTAAGCCTGTACTCGATAATTCATTGAGAGATTGCTTCACGCCCTTCAGGAGCTCGAGGCCCTAAAGAAGGTGCTGTGGGCCCAACACGTCGCGCTGCCGGTGGCGGGCGACGCTCTCTACCGAGAAGCTCTGAAAACCTCGTTCGTCTTCTCCACGTCTTACCCTAAGTACGCTTCCTGTAATGACTTTCGTCTGAGATACATTTACCGCCATCAATGCTATTCGTACCTAGTGGTTTGGGACCGAGAAGTCCCGCCAGTCACAAAGGGCAATTTATCTGAAGATTTTGCTATCAATCGGCATCGATTCTTGTGCAGAAATTACCTAAAATGATTACAATATCACTGTGTCCCATTCCATTGTTTCTAGTAAGATTATTTATATTCTTAACTACGAAACGGGAATTTCAGTTTATTTAATCTAACCATGAATTGATCATTTTCAACATTGCTATTTGCTAATAGATCTATAACTAGCTACTAAAGGTTCCCAACTCTAGTAATAGAGTTGGGAACCTTGTTAAACTTGTGGGTGCGACCCAAACGTGGTTGTTCCGACCTAACCGTTGTTGTCCCGACCCAACCGTGCTTGTCCCGACCCAACCGTGGTTGTCACGATCCAACCGTGGTTGTCCCGACCCAACCGTCGTGGTTGTCCCGACCCAACCGTCGTGGTTGTCCCGACCCAACCGTCGTGGTTGTCCCGACCCAACCGTCGTGGTTGTCCCGATCCAATTAGTCCCCAACAAATTCATACCGACTTTTCTCTTAGCAGAATGGATGCCGCCTTGGAAGGAGGTGTGCTCAGAGGCGAGGTGGGTGCATAGTGCTGAAAAAATGCCGCAACTATTTTCAATGTTTGATGAATAATGATTGCTTGATTTCGGGCTATGATTTAGGGTAAAGCTGCATAGCACAGCCTCTTTACTCATGAAAAAATACGTGGCTGGGATGGCTGTTTGAATAAATTAGATAAATTTAATGTTAAGTAAATATTAAATGATTTAATACATTTGCAGTATATGTTATTTAAATTCAATGCATATAGAATACATATTTAGAAGATTTCTGCATCATTCTCTTTTCTGTTTTACATCAACTGAAAAATATTTATATATATTTGCTGTTTATTGCGTATTGTCTGCATTGATGATCTACTTTTTAGCGCAAGTTAAACAACAAACTCAGAAATAATCGTGTGTTTTATTATAAATCCTACAGGTTGTTGAGATTTGCGGTGGGCCAGGGACCGGTAAGTCGTTATTTTGTACACGGATGGCAGTACGTCTGGCGGCCAGTGGGCGCCGCGTGCTCTATGTTGACACTGCCGCTGTGCTCACCCCAGCAGTTGTCGTACGTCAGCTGCAGGACTTAGGGGAAGAGGTTAATAACTTCTTACTATGCCAATAATTTATAATTTTTAATGCTTTGAAGTATAAACTGAGTTGGGTGTTCTGGAAAGTAGTAATAATGTGTGTATTATTTGTTCCAGTTACGCCATCGATTGGAAGATATGCAAGATTTTTGTTTGCAATAAACTGGATGAACAATACCATAAATTTTGAATCAGTGTTTTCACGTGAGTTTCGTCTATAGCCCTATTGATTCTGAAAGGCTTCCCCAAAAAACTTATACTGCTTCTTTTAATCTCTTCTCATCACTCACAGACTTTGCCATCATCACTCGCCACATTACTACTTAGCCCAATTACGTTCACCTTATTACTCACAAGGCCTTCTTCCCGTTAAATATTATCCGGTTTTCAGGTGACGGAAGAAATTCTACAGCGCGTGTCGGTGTGTCGGCCCCCGGACACGTGGGCCCTGGTGGGGCGCGTCACCGACGCCCTCACCAGCGACGCGGCGCCCCACCTCCTCGTCATCGACGCTCTCACTGTCTTCATGCTGTCGTCTTCCACGGCAGGTAGGAATAGCGTTAGTGGGATTCTATTTGACGTGTTCAAGTACACTATAGGTAGGAATAGCGCTATTGGGGCTCTATTTGACGTGTTCAAGTACACTACAGGAAGGAATAGCGTTAATGGGGCTCTATTTGACGTGTCCAAGTACACTACAGGTAGGAATAGCGTTAGTGGAGCTCTATTTGACGTGTTCAAGTACACTACGGGTAGGAATAGCGTTAGCGGGGCTCTTTTTGACGTGTTCCAGTACACAGGTAGGAATAGCGTTAGTGGAGCTCTATTTGACGTGTTCAAGTACACTATAGGTAGGAATAGCGTTAGTGGAGCTCTATTTGATATTTTTAACTACTTTTAAGGTACAGATAGCGTTAGAATCATTAGACGTGTTAGTGCAATCCGATTAAGAAATCAACTGAAATGCACAGCCATGCAGCCTTTATACCTTGATCTTCATGTGCGATTATTTGTCCAATCAAGCTGAAAATATTTATCAACCTAAAGTTGAACAATTTTACCTGATAATATTTTGAAGCAGAGTCAGGGACTTTTTTCGAGGCTCGTCTTGTCTTTCAATGAGTATATTTAAATGATATATTCATGACTTTTGTTTGATTGTATTCGCTGCCCAATGAATTTATACTCATTCTGGAGACAGTGTTGCCAAAAGTATTGATTATATCGTTAGTGAAATACTTCCATATCCGAAAAGTAAATTAGGACGTGAAGTTGAGCTTCTTAAATTTATTTTGTTTAGAAAGTTCTTTTGGTTCACAGCAGAAGTGGATAAAATACACAACATTTTTTTTTTCATGCAGAAATGGGCTCGATATGGCAACTGTCGTCGGCAGTGCGGACGCTTGCGAACAAACGACGGTGCGCCGTCCTGCTGGTGATGCATCAGCACGACCTGCCTGCTGGCAACGTCCTGCGCAGGTAACGGGACCTGCCTGNGTTGATGGACGGGACGGTGCAGTTGATGGACGGGACGGGACAGTTGATGGACGGGACGGGGCAGTCGGAAAAGAGTGCTGATGGGTGAAAAGAAGGGAGGTCTAAAATGTTCTCCCCATCCACGTCACATAATAAGGAGACGCGGAAGTGGGGGGCGAGGAGATTCTGAAGACTTCATTCTTGGCAAGCCGTGCTTATGAAGTGCCTCACCCCTGAATTGTGCTATGTTCTCTAAGAAACATTGGCCTGCGGTCGTAAGAAGTTATTTCAGGAGTGATCGCGGTTGTTACTTACATTGGACTAGTCATCTCAGAACAGACCGTCTCTCTTTCTCTTGTCTGGACACGGCTCCACGGCCGTAGCTGTTTTCTCAATCATAGCTGGAGGGAAGCATTGCTCACGTAAAAGACAATTTCTAATCAAGCTTTTTCTTGCGAAATTGCAACCTCATTGCCCGTTAAGAATTTATCTGGCTAAGTCATGAATGCTGAAAAATCTCAAGTTGAGTGTGCTACAATTAAGTGCAATTAATAATTTAAGTTATTTATTTATATTCATGCTGAAAACTTGAGAACATAATAAATATGCTGCTTGAAAACTTGTACGCAACTGAAATTTACCCGAGCAGGATGTGGCAGCATGTGCCTCACATCCGCATTGTTTTTACGGCCGACCCTGACACAGGGACATCATTTCGCATCGTCAAAGCCACTAGACTTGCCGAGTGGTCAGACTCCAAGCCATTGTGAAACTGAGCGGAAGAAAAAACACCGGCAAAACAAGAGGTAAAACGATTATAATGATAAAGCCTTACTTGTTCAGAAGGATTTAAACTCCCAACATAGACTTCCTAGACATGATAGTACATCATAACTCTTTTAAGATCTATTGCAGTGAATTTAAACCGAAATAATGTTAATAATTGCTGAGCAATTTTTTCGATGACTAATTCTAGTTTTACCAACTTACATATTTCAATAATCATGAAAATAGGATACAATGCCAAAAAAAAACAGACTACTTTTATTCGGTATATATTTACATTTCATCGTCACTTTCTGGACTTCGTAATTTGCGCTTGAGTAAAGATTCTATTGATATCTGCAAGGCAGCACCGGAAACGGATGACTGCCATGACTTGGCGAAGGAGATGAACTTTTCTTTCAGCTCTTCAAATTTCGTCAGTGCTAAGGCGCTGCTCTTTGAATTGTAGACATCATCAGCGATGGTATCCAAACATTGCGCAAAATCTGCCAAGAAGTAAACATCGATGTAATTATTTCTTTTATAGGTGATTTCTTGTCCAACAACTACAGCGTTGCCATCATTCTGTTTCATTTTCTTTGAAGCATATTTTTTGGCTTCCAGCTTTCGTTTTTTCTTGAGTTTTGACTTCTCCTCCTCGTCACTGTCTTCTTCTTGCAAATTATCATCATAAAAATCATCTTCTAAATACTCTGCATCCTCCTGTTCCTCGACAGCGTCACCAATTGCCTCCAAGTGCAGTAAGCCCCTCCTACGCCTCCTGAACTCTTGCGCGTGTGTGAGGCAGTACCAGGCGGTGCTGAGGACGTCCACTGTCGCGCTCACAAGGCTGCGCTTGACATTACTCGTGGCCGAGCATTTGCTGAGCATGTTGGGCAGCAGGTGGAGCAGCTCGTAATGGCGTAGCAGGCGGTTAGCTCCGTACGGAGTGGAACACATTCCTCCAACTGCAGCGAGAACATCCAACTGCAGAAGGAACATTCCTTTTACTACGTGATAGCAATTAGCGAAAACAGTTAAATGGTAATTTGTTTTCGAGAATGTGCAAATAGGCAGCTATGTATTTAACAACTTGTAAATAATTTTTAAATGTATTCTACAAATTTGTATCAAGTATTGGTAACTTAATTATTTTCACGAATTAATGCATTTTTATTGAAATTTACATCCTTTACAATTTTCATGGTGTCAAAATGGTAGATTCTGTAAGTTAACACTCATTGCAATCATGATAAATTTGAAAATATAATAAGCCCACCATCAGCACGGGTGGCACAGTAACTGAGTGCAGAAGTGCCATGACATGCATCGGCGCCTTGGAAGCTTCCACAAAATAATAATCATCTTCTGTTTTAATGCCTTCACTTATCAAGCGCAGGAACAACAGTCGCTCGGACGCGGCCTCGGAGATGCTGTTGCTGTTATAAAGACGCAGCATTTCCGGGAACTGATGAAGAAAACATAATTTTATATGTTAGTATGGCAATCAGTACCATGAAATCTGTCTGGTATGAACGAGGTCACTAGGTTGTTTTGCATCTTATAACATTCGTCTAAGGACAGAATTTCGACGCCTAATGTAATGCACATGTAGAGTAGCCTTTTCTTACACGGCTCCCTCACAATTAATACAGAAGTATTGAGTAATGTGTGAAAATGGAAAGCCGAATTTTCTTTGAACCGTCAAGCCGACGTATTCCATCGACCGCGAGTACTACACTTTACAGTGATCGTGCTAGCCGCCAACGAGTCCTGTTCTATTAGAGTGCCCAGTCCCTTTCTAGACATGGTGATCTCGCCTCGTCCTCACGCCATTTAAAATTGCTAACATAGCATCGTCTTGATACATTTCAAGCGATAAATAACAATTAGCTATTAATTACTGGAAAAGAAATGCAATCAGCTATCCTACAACTACGAGGTCACTAACAGCTCCACCGTCAAATTTTTCAATTTAGGACAATAATACCCTTGCAGCTATATACTAAAACAAATCGTATCTATTAACTGTGCACCATTTCATCTATCTTGGCAACATGAGAACGCCACACGCGCCTAAAATTCAATAAGCACCGCACTCGCACTCACTGTTTGGGGCCTGAGATGGGGGAATAGGAAGAGGTAGTTCATGAGAGCTGGGAAGACGGGATGGTCAGCATGGTCGCTACAGAGCGTTGCCTCCACCAGGAAGCGACACATCGGTCCTGGCAGTGGGAAGGAGGTCACGTCGACGGCCACCATCCGTTGACTGGGTCTGGCTGAGTCATCAATTTCTTCTGCAGCTGGCAAACGAGAAAAATTTCAATTATATGCCTCAGGAAATATTTTGGCGCCAGGTTGCTATGATCAAACTGAATATGTTTGTATGGAACTTATCTGAATATATACACAAGGAGAGGATAAACAAATCAACAACGAAAAAGCATGTTAAAGCATTTCTGGTACGGAATATGACACATCATTCAATTCTTGGTGTACTGACGAACATATAAGCGATATTATCATGAGCGTGGCCAGCACTTTTTCAAATATTCTGTTACGTCTGATTGAGTTTTCTTTAGAAGCCATATGTTTGGTTTCAAGCTTTTATATACGAATAGTATTGATGACAGTCAATGCATCCGAACACAAAGGGTTAACTATGAATGGCAGACTAACAATACAATAAGCCACTATGCAAGACACGAGCTCACCTTGTTGATGTGCGAGAGGCAACTTGGCGCAGGAGCGCGGCCTTCTTGCGCTCATCTTCTCATACGATGACTTGGTGGCCACGGCAGACGCGGCGACGGTGTGCCGTGCGATGTCTATCAGCCACGTCCAGTACAAGCGCACCGACTCGGGACTGCACAGAGTCACTTATACAGTAAATGATTGATTATTGACAATTTTATTTTAGAATTCAATCAGTATCGTAACAGAGACTGTTGATGGAGTGATCAATATGGACAACTGCTTGTATTGAAAGTACCCATAATTGATCTTTAGAAGGTGCAGCGAAAATGAAATGAACATAATTTATTTTCAAATCCAAGGATCACAACAACAGGATCATTATTAACTTACGTTAAGCCCGGCACGAGTTTTTGCAAGGCCCTAAGTAACGTTGCACCCAAGCCTCTGATGCTCCTTTCTTGAGCTGACATCGTTGCTATTCCCACAGCTACCAGTAAAGGCAGCACCTGATTGAAGATTAGACAGACATCTTAGTAAAGTGGCTTCTTGACTAACACCGCCTAATTATGAACAACTGAATAACAATACGGTCAAGAAGATGCCGGCATTTATTTTTAAAATCACTCCATTTTAATCGTTTGATTGCCTGTCGAATATAATAAATATCATAATAAAGAAATAAGCTCTTGGAATCTGCAAACGATTGTGTGAAAAACCTTCACAGAAATGCACGTTCACATACAATAACGCGGGCGCAAGGCAGGACACCCCAACAAATCGTATCACCTGATGGGTTGGCTGGGTTTGAGCGTCGATGAAGCTGCGCGTGACGAATATCAACAGAGGAATGAGGAAGCGTAGGTCGTACAACGTGCCTCTATTCTTCTCTGGCTCTCGACAACGCACGTCAAACTGCACAATTTTAGAAAATTAGGAATAGGTTGGCTTGGAAATTCTATGAGAATTTTCGTTAATTAAGTTCCGGCCGGTTTACTGTTGTACGTGTAATAGCCGTGTGCTGATCCGCTGAATTTTAGGGAATGAATTATGCATAGAACATTTTTGTATTGCAGCCCGAATCTTTATGGGCGTCATCAAGGCAGAGTACATTTGACGGACACGAAACAATCACCCAATTTAAACTTTCTGGCAGAATTATGTCACCCAAAACTACTGCTTACTCTTGCGCTCATGAAGACGTCGAAATTGAGGCAGGTATTGACGAGAACTTTCAAGTCAAGGTTCTCAATAATGCGCTCTGGCTTAGGCTCCCTGAAGACCGGCACGTCGCCAGCGCTGCTGAAATAGCGGCTAGCGAACGCTCCCCAGACCACCGGCAGCAAGTCTTCCATGTAGCCCGAGTCCTCGTACTGCTTCAAGAGCTGATGGTTACACCAAAGTAATGTGGTTAGAGCTGAAATGCTTCATATAATGTGGCATAAAATGGTTGAAAATTGCACTCGAAGCATGGACTACTCATTTACATTAAAAAAAATCGGCATTTCTTACAATAAAAAAAGGACATACATAATTATAAGCTCTATACACTTTAACTTACCCACTACAGGAAAAAGAAGTTTTTGTTTCTAAATATTTACAAGTTGTAATTCACAAAATCGAAGCTATTGTTTGCACGCAATCAAAATCTTTTTGCTGACCAACTTTAGTTTTTCATCACTATCGAACTTAATCATAGCTCTCTCAATGTATAACATGCCCTCAAACTCAATAGATCCAGACGCCAAGATAATCGCTTCGTCAAATAATAACAAATAGTAATAAATATAATAATGATAATAACAACAATAATAAGGCATATTGATACAACAGGACACCTGCAGAGCAGCTTGGTCAGCCAAGCCTGTAGTGGCGTGGTAGGCAGTGAGCAGGCTGCTGGCAGGATATTGTAGAGCCACTGCAGGACACAACTTCTGCAGCACGCACAGCAAGTTCAAGATTCTCTCTGTGTGTAGGTATCAATACAAGCATCGTCAGCAAAATGATCAGTCAATTGAGGTAAATACGACACTTGAAAACATTAATTTTTGCATTATTTTTTGAGCAAATTTTTGAGATTATAAATTCAATTTTCGTTTCTGATTAATCCCATTTATTTTATTCATTAATGAATCATTGGTCCTGACTATTATATCCCAGAGAAACAAGCTACTGGGATTTTTTAATGCTTTTTCATCTCAAATTTAATGCAATAAAAAGTAAAACGTGTAACCCCACCACAAGCAAACAACCTAAAGTGGCAAATAATTATTTAACTTGTATTTACCTTTCAATACAAGTTGATCCTCGATCTCTGCTTCTCCCATTATTTTCTGGAACCGTGGATTGTTCACAAAAAGTTTGACCAGGTCAGCAGGTGGCTGGGAGTCTTCTGCGTTACTGAACTGCCACGTGCAGAGATCAGGCAGGCAGCCGAGTAGAGCAGCGCTCTCCTCAACGTGATTGTTGTTGTCACGTAGACAACTTCTTGCGACCTGACATGTGCAAAGTGACACGCTTTTAATAAATATATGATACCAGTGCTTTTCTTAACGAAAAACAAAATATTATTATTATTATATATGACTTGAAACCCACAAACGAATTCAATTTCAAAAAATTTATATACATGCTACAACAAAAAATCTGTCACCAATTTTGTTGAACATTTATATTTGGATTTACTGACTGCAATCTGGTTCGAAATATCCTTGAATTTAAATGAATTCGCCGCCAACATTGATCTGTGGAGTGTTGAAGCAGCACGATCAACGCACGTCAGTTGCACTCTTACATCCTACAAGCGAGAAACATGTTGTTTGCGCTTCGATGCAACCTTTTTCGTCTTGTTCGCTGTACTTTTGTCAATGGCAGGAAAAGCAGTACAAATCCTAGCCATGCTTGGTCTTGTTCACTCGTTCACACAAATGACCGTAAGCTCATAGCACGCACCATCAAACACAGCCACCACAATATATAGATTCAGCAAAGAACCAACAAACTGCAACGCACAATTTTCACCTAGTATTTACTCAGCCCTAACCACCTAGAGTACCAGCAGCCCTTCACAACTTCGCAGGTACTTTTACAATAAAATACAACAAAGGTACTTCTATATATCTTCCAACTTACGTACACATTCATCATTGTGCTCGGCATCAAAATATATTGTTTTTTATTAAAATTTGTCTTCTAGTGCGTCCCTGGCATGGAAGAAAAGTGGAAATATAGAACTTCTCTCGAGCACGACCACGTCAACAGTAATGAAGCATCTATTACAAGTTGGTGGAGCCGCGAGAGAGGCAATCAATCAGCACGCTGATAAATAGAGGCGCGTTTAGCATACCTCATTGATTGTCAATGACAGACAGAGAAGCTCGAGCGCGGAAGCAGATATCGCTCCATGACCAACAGATATGCCAATTTTATCTCTAATAAATTAAAGAATTCAATTCAATACTTCAGATTAACTTGAGAAAATATCGTTGGTAAATTTAATCCATTATATTTCTAAACGATTGAACGTAGCTTACTTTTTTTGAGAATTTTGTCCAGAGTGCAGTATCGGCCTTAGCTTCTCGCGACCTCCGCGAGAGGCGAGGCAACAAATCGTTCAGCAGAAGCATCATCTCAGTCAGAATTTGTCGTTGTTCAGGTTTGAGTTTATCTCGCAAAGCTCGATGGCAACAACGCTCCAGACAACATAGAATCATGTGCACAGTTGTCAGCAAAGCATCAGGGTTTGGGAGGCGGCTCTCTTTCTTATGACCTTTCAGAGTCAAGCAGACAGCGCACACTGACGCTAAATGAAGAGGCGGATTCTCGCCTTCCATAATACGAGGGTAGATAACTTTGACAACAGACACAGCTTCGCTGGGATCAATGAGTCCTGCATCGATGAGTTTAGTAGTGAGGCCAGTATAGCCCATTTCTTGTTCAGCATCGTAATCCTTCAACCACTCCACCACAAAAGGTTTCGCAGCAGCCAGATTAGCTGTTACTAACTCGTGGTCAACCAGCGTATGAAAAGGGGAAGTTTCGTCCTCACAAGCGTTGAAAAGCTCCAGCAACAACGTTGCATGGGAGGGAAACCAAAGTGTCTTCTTCAATCTTTTAACAACGAACGAAGCGTGAGGAGGATGAAGCTTCATAGTTTGAAGCAGCAAATCGCTGCCCAAGTGTTTTGACAGGGAAAACATCCACTTCAACGCACCTGCAGAAAATAAATATTGCAACAATCACAAGAATTTAACTTGTGCAAAGCATCAAAAGAATATTGAAGCAGATTACGGCGTGCAATATAAAAAAAAATAATAATCCAATAAAATTTATTGGATCATTAGCATATTGATACAAGGAAATACTAAATCAACTAATAAATTTAATGTACAATACGCACCGCGTTCAATAGTTTCAGCATCAGCAGGCACCAAGGTGACAGCCAAAAGACTTTGTAAGTTCTTCAGGAAGGCGACAAAAGCGTAAGATGGACCGTCAGAATCGGTGATGACGTGGCACAAGCTCATCAGATGTCTTTTAGCGAGTTGGTTTAGGCAGCGTTGGTCCTGTAAATTGAGGGACGAGCTTTTCTGTTTAAGCTCGGTCACGGTTTTAGATGCAAGTTCAACAAACGAGTCATTTGAGTAATACTCTTCAGATGCCGATGAAATAATATCAAGGAGCGATGAGAGAGACGCGCATGTAAAAAGACCATCCAAAAAGAAAGGAGTGAATGGAAACATGAAATCAATTTCACCCGGTGAGTTTTCTAAGGTGATTCGAGACTGTAGTTGGTCACAAGCTTTCTTGAAATAAGGAGTCATTATCTTGAGGTTACTCGTCTTCTCTTGAAAGAGTTCAGTGAGCAAGTGAGTAGCCATTGATTGGAGAGGGTCACTGGAGAAAATACTGTATCTGGATATGAGAGCAGGATGATCTAATGCAACACTGAAGATGCTCAACTTGGAGGCTTCTTCCTTGAAGTCTTCGACTGTGGAGCGCATCACGTGTTCAAGCAGCTTTGCATACGCGGGTGAAGCATTTTTAGCAACCGAAGAATTTTCAGACGTATCCGCGTGTATGTAAGTCAGTAAGGATCGAAGTAATTCTTTTCTCTCTTTCAAAGTTTCAGGCAAAGCTGTCTCAGAGATAAGAGCATCAACGGCGCTGAAGTTTTTGGCGAAGAAAATATTGCTCAACTTGGTAGAAAACGTGTCCCCATCACTTTCTGGAATAGGGCGCTTGGGCTTTTTACCGAGCCAACAGCGGCAACATTGCATCAGTGGATCTGGCATTTCGATATCGCAATCTGTCATGAGATAGCGCACTAGAACCTGAGGGTCCGGGAGCAGGCGAATGTATCGCTGTATCACAACAGAAAAGTATTCTGTCACTTCGGCAGTTGGGGCCTTGCTCAACACGGCCAAGTTCCCAAGAATTAGTCTCGAGAAGGACAAGTCAATGTTTGAAACAGAAATATCGGTGTTATCTTTGATGAGAAGTTCTACAGGATATTCGTCTAGCATACGGTTAAAATCAAAGGGCTCGTCTGTCTTAGAGTTGCTAGTTATGACAACAACCTTGTCAGAGAAGTGTTCCATAGAAGCTATGGTTGTGACTATTGAATCACACAAGAAGTTAATGCACTCGGGTCCACGTCCTACAAGCTCTTCCAGCCACAACTCGATGTTTGACTCTCCTTGGTCAAAGAATCCATAGTTGACCAATGATGTCTCGATGTGCTCCAGTAAAGGCGTCAGTATCTTTTCTCTTCGATTTTCTTCATCATCCATCATGTTCTTGGAATCGAGATAAATTGTGAAGAGCATTTTGAAGCTCTGGAACAACTCTGACTGAGTTTCTGTGTTCTGAGCCAATGAGAATGCATCGAACTTACTCTGACATGAAGTAGCAAGTTGCATGCAGGTGATAAGTAATGGCAGTCTTTGTTCCTCGTTTAAAACAGAAAGCTGACTGACTTGTTCCAAAATTTGATCAGGCTTCACAACTTTGTGCAGTTCAGGCGCAAGTTGGAGACGAGAATGCAGTGCAAGTAGCTTCACAATGACGAGTAGAGAGTCGACCATAGACTCGACCTCGTTTTTCTTGAAAATCTCATTCCAAACGTCCAAAACTAATTTTATATCAGGAATGCATTCTTCAACAAAAGCTATGATCAAGTTCTCTACTTGACCTGCTACAATAAACCACGATTCCCGGTGCATTGCTTTCACAATTCGGTTGCCCATAATTAGCACACTCAACATCAAACTCAACGCACAAGATTTGAGTTTCAAGTCCTGTGATTTGTGACGCAAAAGGAGGGAAATAAAGTAGCTCGATACGGGCACAGGCATCAAGAATTTCTTTACAGCATCAAAACCTCGACGAGCCAGAGCTTCAGCATGAGTTCGGTAGATGAGCTCCTCGTACATCTTCACAAAGCCCATGAAATACTTGTCAGGACCAATGATGAGGCGCGAGCTCATGGCTACAGCATACTGCATTCGGATATCGGGACATGCCACCAAGGATTCCACGATGAGTTTCCGATAGCGCTTGTCAACGAAGCTCGTCGTTGGAAGCAATTTAATCAAATCTAGGACATGGCCATTGCTGGGTTTGTGGTCCGCATATGCACGAGCCGCAATACCGAAAGTGTATGAGGTACACAGTGTGGTTAGAAATGCACATTGGGCATCAATTATTTTCTCTCTGCCTGCACGAATTTCTTCTAAGTTTTCAACATTGATATCCTCTTCCTCTTCCTCAATAGTTATTGAAGATATTTTGTTTGTCTTTGGGCCTGTCCATTTACTTATTTTCAATATGGGTTCAAGCGTGAGGCTGTTGAAAATGTGAACTTTGAGGCCTTTTTGTTTGACGTCAGGGTTTAGGAGGATTTTCTCATGCAAGGCTGTGATGACAGCAACAACTCTGTCACATGGGTCAGTGTTTAGACCTCGGAAGATCAAGGGCAAGGCACCTGCATTGAAAAGCAAATTTTTTAAAACAATGCACTGTGGATAGAATGAATGAATACAGGTTGTGATTATACTAAATTTCGAAAGTATCTTTAATTCTAACAATTCCTTATTTTTACAACACTTCTCTTTAACTTCACTTCTTGTTTGTCTGTCTGTCTGCTATAAATCTTATAATCAAAATTTAGGACACTTCTACTTATCCTATCGATCTGAAATTTTGCACACTTGCATAAAGTTGGAGACAATGCAAGAATCAAATGACAAAATATATGACTTTAAAATATTTTTTTTTTTCAATATTAAAAAAATTGAAAAAATAATTTTGTCAGCTACAAATCTTATAACTGATATTTGACACACTTTTACCTGTCCAATTGATTTGAAATTTTGCACACTTGTGTGAAGTCAGAGGCAATACATGAATCAATTGATAGAATAAATAATCTTGAAAAAATGTTATATATTAGAAAAATTGAAAATTTTTTTTTTTTTAATATTCGAAAACAAAATGAGAAATTCATTTTACATCTTTAACATAGGATACACTGGATTCTTTAGAAGTGTTGTCTTTAAAAAGTAATTTTTAAAAGTATGGCATATTATTGTTCCTATAGACAACTAGATAATGAACTTAGAAAATATCAAGGATACAATATTTATATCATAAGTCGACTGAATAATTTAACTAGGGAGATTTTGCCTTCACAGCTATCATGCACAGACCTGATTTGAAGAAGTGTTCAGTGAGCTGGCAGTTCTTGAGGTTGAGTATGGCTGTATAGAAGTAGATGCTCCAGGAGCGAGAATCAATTGGGACGTCAGGATTCCGTTGTTGGATTGCTACCTGCATCAGCGACCAGTCCAGGGATTCGATGACAATGTTGGCACTCTCCTCGCAAGCCATTACAGAAGCTGTACAATATATTGTGTTAAGTCCTTCAATATTCCCTGGCCATTGGCCAATATCTTAGAATTTTTGCTATATCTGGGAAGAGGATATTTTTTAAATTTTAAAAATACCTCTTGAGTTAATAATTCAGCAAGAAGGGAAGACTCTCAGAATAGGTGTATCAATATTAAGAAAAATACTCCCACATTTGAAATTTTTTTGGTTGAGATTCAATTTGCTTCTGACTGCTATGCATTTGGACTTAATATGAGTGTACCGGTATTGATTAAAAGTGAACAAGTTGGGCAATTCTATACCTGTGAGGCATCGCAACACTGAACCTGAGCATTTCAGCTCAAAGGCAGTTGTCAGGAATTGGCTGAACTTGGTGAAGAGCAGTCGTGTAATGTGCTCCACATTTGCCACATTGGCCTGGCATTCAGTGAGAATTCTGCAAAAACAAGAATGAGAGTTATCTTAAAATCAATGGGTAAATTTTCAATCAAATAAGTTTAGTATAGATGATGAATTAATTAAATAAAGTAATAAATTAAAAAAATGCAGTGTTCACTAAGTTAAAAAATCAAATAAAATTACAGTTCTATAATTTAACAGTTGTAGAAAACTCACGAGAACAAAATATTTCCAATGGCATCAAACACAGCTTGGCACAAGGCTGTTCCAAGAGTTTTCTTCTTGAGCAGAGAAAATATTGGCAGGCAATCAGAGGTAATTTTCAAAATTTCTTCAACAAATTTAGCACGATTGCTTGCAGCTGTCTCCCAGAAGTTGTTGAACCATTGCAGAGCTGTAAATAGTCAAAAAGTTCCATCATGTGGACAGACAATTTTGCAGTACCTATTGCAATAAAGTAGGACATTATGACTATTCAAGGTTATATTTGGTCAGAGAACAAGAACTGGTAACTTCCAAGATTGCCTGCTTGGAGAATATATAGGGCAGAAGGCACAATAAGTAAACAGTCACCAGCAAGACAGAGTTGGAGCTGAGAGTTTGTTGAGGACATACACCAACAAGTTGTCCTATCAAGATAAGAGCTTGCAGTGAGAATGTCTTTTAGCAGAGGGATGGTGAAAGCAGTAGAGCAAAGATTAATGTGTTCCAGCAAGGGAGATGCTGAAAGCTAGGGATATTCTAGGAACCAAATTCTGCATCTGACCAATCTACAAAATAGTGACGCCTGTCAAGAGAAAACATCAATGTGTTGATTAATCAACTAGAGGCTAAGCACTTCAGAACTGATTACAATGATGCCAGTCCTCTAACACACTATATATACTGGAGACCAACAACATGCAGCTTATCAACAAACAAAAATGCCTAATCTCCTATTTTTTCAAAATTAAATGCCTACTTGCATCTTGGCACAAACTGCTTTAATTTGAAATTAAATTCACATGTGCACATGATTGCCAGACAATACCGTACCAAGATTATATGTGAGCCAGCTAAACAGCACTACCATAATCTTACAGGTGACCCAGGTTAAGTACAGTGAGCACCGTAGCTCTGAGCTCAGTCCAGAGATTGCAGCTGCATTATTAACTGTTTTTTTCTATCTGCTCTGATGGAGACATTAGCATAACAGGAGATTCATTCTTTGTCAATATCTTACTTCCAAGCACCCAAATAAAAATATATATCTAGTGAAAATATTCCCCATGTTTCCCTAACCTCCTACTGTTAACCATCAATGGGTGGAATTCATAGACTTATGATGTACCAACCATCAAGGCCTCTCAAGCCTAAAAAACATAATAGTATATAAATCAGCCAGACACAGGTACAGAGTTCATCATAAATCAGAGGCTGGTAGATGATTCACTTTATATGCAAAGAGAAGAAAATCATGCAATTATTAATGAATAGAAATAAATAAAGCAAGAGCTGGGCAAACCATTCACTTAGTCTTCAAAATTATATTTACCGGTAGGGTAAGGAATTGTAAGTAATTCAATTGATAAAATTGCATGTTAGCAACAGAAATTTTGAAAATCAAGGAAAATTCCATTCCTTATTGATACCGTCAACTGGGGCTACTCGGGACGGGCAGGGTAACTCAGAACAGTCCTCCGACATGGCGTAGAACTGTTTTAGTAGCAAAACTAATTGGAATATTGCAAAACTAAATATAGTGGCGTAAACATAAACATTTTTCCTATCTATGTAGTATAAAGGAAGTTCAAAAATACTACATTTACTAGCTTTGAAAAATTCCTAAAAAATAGGGAAAAACAATATTTTGAAAAGTTACTTCTGCTAAGGTCTGTAGTAAAAAAAAATATTTGCCATATTAAAAAATTTTGCTTAGAAAAAAGTGGCAGACAAGTGTCAGCATGAAAACTTTATTTGCAGAATTTGCATACCTCAATCAAAAAAAAAAAGGTGGCCATTTCCGCACGGCGGGGCTACTGAGGACACCCCCAAAAAAGCATTTACAGTAGCCCCATTCGACGGGGCTACTTGGGACACTCTTTTTTTGCTTCTGGCACTTTACAAATAGCATAAGGAATTTTTTTGAAGAAGCCATGTGATAGCCTTTGCAAAGAGCTTTGAAATGAGCCTAAACTTGTTTATGAAATGTTCCATTGTAAAGAGTTATGAATGAAAAACGTTCAAAATTGTCCTGAGTAGCCCCGGTTGATGGTGTGTACCTACTAAGGGAATTTTTACACTTTGTGTTCAAATAGGATATCATCATAATTATCATTATAATTTTCCATAAACATGGAGAGGGAATTGGGGTGAAATTGCCACAGCTTTATATTAACAATCTGCCAAAAGTTAGGAAGAGTTACAAGAATTTTAATGGCTATAAATAATTGATTGGCCATATTTTGAAACTTTTGGCAATTATTAATGCATTTACAGCAAGTCAAGTACTGTAAAACTCTCATTGGCAATTTGAATTTTAAATTGATATATGACAATGAATAGAGTCAATTTCATTAATGCTCATTACCAATTGAATAAAGAATACCATAAAATGGGGTAACTTAGACCACTTTTTTTAAATGATGCCATTTTTTACTAGCAAAATTAAACTTAAATTGAAACATGCAAAATACATGTCTATACTCTAAGTTCCCTCACCATAAATTGCTGGCTCCTGCCTCTCATAGTTTTTACGTAATTTCAAAAAAAGTGATGGTCTTTGTTACCCCAGCTCTTGGGGTATCTTAGACTGGGTGGTAAAATCAATTATATATTTTTGGTAAAATAACTCCAGGTTTTGGTGCATTGTAGTAGAACTTTACTAGTTACATATGCAAATGACAAATTTGAGGAAAGTGTCATAGTTTGCAAATGGGGGCGCTGCCCCCAAATGAGGGAACTTAGACTACCCAATGTCAGCTTGGAAATTAAGCAAAAATTACCATATATAAGACTCTGTAGAGTCTGAAACACAAAGAAAAAACATAATAGGTGTATCAAACATGAAATATGTTATATATGGTAATTTTAAATTAATTTCCAAGCCGGTCTATGTTACCCCATTGGGAGGCGGTGCCCCCCATTTGCAAACTATGACACTTTCCCAGGGTTGGTGATTTTTTTGATTTTTTTTTTAATCAAAAAAATCAAAAATCAACGATTTTTTATTTTTTCATGATTTTTTGGTTTACTTGATTTTTTTTTTAATTTTTTCAGCTTTTTTGTCTTTTTGAAAGGTTATTTTTTATGTTGCAATTAGCCTACTAACAATAACAGTATATGGATCATAATGGATGGCTAAAAAGGGTCTCAATATATTTATATATATAAATAAATAAAAAAATCAGAAAAATAAAAAAAATCATGATTTTTATAAAAAATCAAGTGATTTAATCACATGATTTAATCATTTTGATTTAATCATTGTCAACCCTGCACTTTCCTAAAATTTATCATTTGCATATGCAACTAGAAGAGTTCTACTACAATTCATCAAAACCTGGAATTATTTTACCAAAAAATAAAAAAATTAGAGGGGGTACTCCGACAGGCTTTAAATAATAGCTTTTTTTCGTAGGTCACATTTTTAATTTTTTAACCTATTAGATAAGCAAACTTTTTACATCTTTCTATTGTGTTACGCAGCCTCAGTATTAGGCCTTTAATGCCCATTGACAAAAATTTTCTATGTCAAATATTTTTTGAGTTTTGGGAGTTTTTGTTAAAAAAATGAAAAGTGGTCTAAGTTACCCTGGGAGTCTAAGTTACCCCATTTTACGGTAATAGAAAAGCCACTGCAATAATCAACACGCCCATGAGCCAATAAAATCACACTAAATTGTGCAAAGGGAAATTTAATGAGGTATATATATTCTTATTATGATGACCAAACAGAAAAAGAATAAACGAATAGTGTGAAAGTTTATAATTTACATAATTAAGAAATGAGACAGGACATGAACTTATGATATTCCAAAAAGAAAAAAAAATCACTCACCTTCTGAATATTCTGAGCTGGAAAGTTTCTTGATAAACTCAATACTTTCCATTTTAGTTTATATTTTGAGCAAAACTAGCTTCAAATGTTTACAGAGCACAAAATATATATATGTAAAAAATGCTATCCATCTGCACAAATTCAAATTACAATTAATTGAAGAACTTTATGTACCAACAAGATTTCAGAAGCAGAAATCAAATTGTAAAATATTTAATAGTAGATTATTATATGTTATATATTATTCTTAGATATTATATATTAGCTAAGATTTAGTTTGGTAAAAATCAGTTTATCAATTTGCAAGAACCACCAACAGCAAGGCAACTTATCACTGTTAGTGTTAGCATGGTGGAATTCTAGGAATGGAGAATTCTATTACTCCGCCTTACAGATGCATGCTCTGAGGAGGAGGGGTAACATGCTTGGAGGCGGTAGTCAGGGGCAGTGTTGGATGTTGGGTGGGGATGAAAGGGGTGGTGAATGTAGGGGAGCTGCCCCCATGACACGTCTCCCTCTTTGCACGATGGACATTAGGATGCCAGGCCAGCACCAGCAGACAGGACTTCTGATGGTACTGTGACTACTGCTACAACCATGGGCACTTGGTTTGACACGGGATGTTCTAACCACATTGGTCATAATTAGAAAAAAATAGCATGTGTATCTTTGCATATAGAGCATGCTGGGAGTCTAAATTGGAATTTTTGTGCCTATGAATGTATTATTGCACCTTTAGCATCACCAAAGTGACCAATTTGAATACATTCAGAATCTCACAAGGGGCATTCTAAATGTCTTCTAAATGACCATGTACCTACGTAATTGAGGAGTGCAACGGTCAATAATATGTGTTTAAAAATTAATTTTTAAATACAACACTTCTAAAGAATACAGTGTCTCCAATGTTAAACATCTACAATGAATTTCTTTTTTTTAATATATAAAGAAAATTTTCAAGATCATCTATTGTGTCAATTGATTCATGCATTGTCTCCAACTTTACCCAAGTGTGCAAAATTTCAGATTGATTGGACAAGTAGAAGTGGGCTGAATATCAATTACCATAAAATGGGGTAACTTAGACCTTTTTTTTTATTAATGATGCCATTTTTTTACTAGCTAAATTAAACTTGAATTGAAACGTTCAAAATACAGGTCTATACTCTAGCTTCACTCACCATAAATTGCTGGCTCCTGCCTCTCATAGTCTTTATGTAATTTCAAAAAATGTGATGGTCTTTGTTACCCCAGCCCTTGGGGTAACTTAGACCGGGTGGTAAAATCAATTACAGCAATCCCTTGATTAGCACGGTTTTGAATACCGCGGTTTTGATTAACGCGGAAAAAAATTTGCGACCTACCCTTAATCTACGCGGTGTACATTTTTAATTTTTTAACCTATTAGATATGCAAACTTTTCAAATCTTTCTATTGTGTTATGTAGCCTCAGTATTAGGCCTTTAATGCCAATTGACAAAATTTTTCTATGTAAAATGGTTTTTGAGTTGTGGGGGTTTTTGTTAAAAAAAACGAAAAGTGGTCTAAGTTACCCCGCCGGTCTAAGTTACCCCATTTTACGGTATATATTAGATTCGTAGAAGACAAAATTATTCTTCAATTTCTTAACCCTTTACCGCCAAATTGGACTTTCAAGCCGCCTTTAAAAAACCACCGGTTTTTCAATAATTTCACATTTTCTTTAATTTTTTCGAGAAATTCACACGAACAAAAAAAGTATTACATTTATTTTTTACATATGTGTACCAAGTTTCAAAGTTATCTGTCTGTAAATAACCAAAATAAAATTTCCAATTTCTAGTGGAAATTTTATTTTGGTTATTTACAGACGGATCACTTTTAAACTTGGTACACATATGTAAAAGATAAATCTAAGACTTTTTTGTTTGTGTGAATTAAAAAAAAAATGAAAGAAAACATGAAATTCTTAGAAAACAGCCAAAAAGGGGTTAGGGTAAACGCAGTATATTCAGACATTGTGGGTAATTACGACACTTCTCAACTTTTTCCTAGTTCCATGCATTCTTTGATGGTTGAAATAGTGACGTTATACTTTTGCGCGCCATACTCTTGCCAAAACACTAGGTCTGGGCCGTCTGGTGGGAAAATGTTGAGATCCTAAGAGAGACAGTGCGCATCACCCAGAGAGAACATCGAAAAATGTGTCAAAGTTGATAGTTGACCTTGCTCTACTACCAAATAGTGCTAAACTGTTTGTGTAGAAAGAATATTATGGTTTGAGACTTTTAAATGTCTGTGAATATATTAGGAATCCTTCAACACGTTAAGTGCGGCGCGACCCACCGGTGGGTCGTAGCCGATATCACTCTGCTGCGAAACGACCTACCGGTCGGTCGTTTATAAAAATAATACCAAATATGGATAAGAGCCCATAAAATTAGTTTCATTGGAATATACAGCATATTTGTGTTAGTATCATTAAATAAAAGTTTGAAATGATAGAAAATGAGTTTTACTAATTTATGTAAGTGCCAAATAAAACATATATTATTTCCAGTTGCAAGTTTATAATTTGAGGAAAATACCCGTAAATTAGTGATGATGTTTTGAACTGAAACATGACCAGCACATAAAAATGGTTTTCCAGAGCATCCTTCACAAAATGTTGATACTTTTTGGCCTTTCTTTCTGCAACTTTTGATCCTTCTGACTGGGAAATCATTTTATAGCATCCAACACAGCGCTTTCTTGTCTTGCCTTTTGAGCCAGGAACTTCAAACGAGCGATGGGCACTTGTCTTGCCGCATCTTTTTCAGATGGTTCTTCCATCGGATATCCATAAAAGAGTGAAAAAATAAGAGATTCTCTGAATTTTACGATTGTCCATTTGTGCCACCCACTGCAGAATTTATTGAAGATTAGGAGGATTATGAGGAGGGCCTGAATAATTGAAATGAAGGGTCCTCAGTAGAATAAAAAATCTGTCAGTTACCATTATCTCACGGTCACATCTTCTCTAAAATAGAACACTTTTTGACCAGTGAGATTTCATGGAATATTGAGGATTCAGTCCCATGTACTGTTCATCACTAATTTCACCATCTAAATCACTTTCATCATTCAATTCATCACACTCTGAACCATCGGTCCTCTCTGGTGAGAACGTGTCATCTGATGGAATGGGATCATCACTGTCAGAAGAAAGTTCATCATGTTTCGCTCCCTTAGAATCACCCTAAAAACTATATGTTTCCATCATGAATGGTCTGAAAATACATGAGAGTGAGTTGTGAAACAGGAAAATTAGGTAAAATAAATTTATCAGCAAATTGTCGCACGACCCATATGTGGGTCGTGCTGCAGTGACATGATAAATCTCACACTCTGCTGCGAAATGACCCACATGTGGGTCATGAATTTTATTGCGCTAACATGTAGAGCACATTGACAAACATACACACACAACCTCCCGCTTCGATGTCTGGAGAGGCACTGACAATATAGCAACCCAAACATAGCCGCACCAGCGGGCAGTCAGCAATTTCGGCCCCCGCACTTAACGTGTTAAGTATACTTGTATTTGCTGATTTCAAGTGGTAAATAAGTTTATATATGATCAAGTTACGAGACTGTTTTAGACACATAAAAACTAATTCTGACACAGCTTGGAATTAGACACACACAGCTCGTTCCAAGCTGTGTGCAAAAATTAAAATTTTCTTAATTAAAAGCTTAATAGCTCTTGATTAAAAGCTTAATTAAGTAGTGTTCAACATTCAATAGTGTTCTAATTCCAAGCTGTGTCGTATTCCAATACAGCTCACACAGCGATCGGTATTCGACCACAGGAGTGTCGGCATTACGAATTAGTAGAGTTTGAAGCACGGCCAGAATTAGTTTCATAAAAGGCTGAATTTAGTCACACACAGTGTCGGAATATATGGATTTGGTAGGTTAGCATTCTAAAGGCTTTTAAATAAATATGGCAACATTTTGTGACGTTTCATTGTTGCTGGCGCGTAAAGCAAACAGAACTCGAGTTGCACATTCGGTGTATTTTTTATAGCAATTCATTTTTTGCTACGTCCTTAATGTGTCGGAATATACTGCGTTTACCCTATATCAGCTCTGATATCAACAGGAGTGATAACTCTATAACAATACCTTCCTTAGTTAGGTAGAGTGCATGTAACTGACCGAGGGCTAAGCTGATTTAGTTGCAAAACATGAGCAATGTCTTCTTCATGGTCATTTAATAGCTGAACAGCAATCAATCCTTTAAGGCAATTCACACGTACATCTTCTATATGCAAGGTTGGGGTGGATAGCAAGAGGTCAGACCATCAGCATAGCCCAAGTCCACAGTGCGATTCATATACCTTCCCAAAGGACCCAAACCGCCGAGGCCCGAGCGTAACGCAGCTGGGCATCTTCATGGCTTGACACAAAGCGCACACCACAACAGCGCCGTTCAGTCACAGGCTGGAGGGCATACAGGCCAGAGCAGTCCATAGTGGCAAACCAGAGCTTTTTTAGAATCAGTTCATTTTTAATTTCCTCATTTACTCCAATTTCAACCAATTTCTTAAGTATGATAATACTGGTATCCAGGATACTTTACTGGTCTACTTATAGGACTCAAAAATGAACTTGAGGCCTGAGGCCAAGGGAGAGTCTAAAAAACTCTCTGCTTTGCCACTATGCGGAGCACAACTGGCCAGAGTGCAACAGGCCCTACCGCAACAGCTACTCCTAACTTAACGTAACCTAACCTGCGCCACCCATAGTGATAAACCAGAGCTTTTTTAGAATCAGTTTATTTTTAATTCCCTCATTTACCTAAGATTTAAATCAATTTCTTATGTATGATAAGGCTGGTATCCAGGATACTTTACTGGTCTACTTATGGGACTCAAAAATGAACTTGAGAGAGAGTCTAAAAAATTCTCTGCTTTGCCACTATGGCACCACCTGTTGTGGTAGCTGGTAGGGCCTGTTGCGCTCTGGCCAGTTGTGCTCCAGCTCTGTGGAGCAGTAACTGTGTTGTGCAAAGCGGATTTACTGTTAGCCGAAGTTACCCACAGCTCATTGATCTGAGGCTATGTGTAGTAGTGCAGAGCTGGAAAAGTCCTATTTTTTAATAATATTGCGGCTCTAATATCATATAATTTCAGTAGGTGTAAAATCTTGCGGCTCGAATGTCACAAATTTTTGTGTGATTGAAAAAATTGCGGTTTGTACTTTTCAAACCTGTCATTTCATACAATTTTCCCCTTCTGCAATCCGCATTATTGCTTTACCGTTCCCGCCAAAATATCCTGCAAAACGTAATCATCCTAATATAAACAAGTCAACCTAAATGTTTTCTTGAAGATTGCGCATAGTTGCGGCCACGTCAGACAGTCAGACTGCATTAACACAAGTTCAGCTTACCTTTCAGTAAAGACAAATGTTATTGTTGCTGTTTGACTATTTGCTGTTTTAGGGTAAAATTGGAGATTGGGGTAACACGTGCATGGGTTTTGTAGCTAAATCAATTCGCGCCTTGTAAATGGCTTTTCATGGCCGAGATATGGAATTCACGGCTCTAAAAACTGGAATCACGGCCACAAAGAAATGGAATCATGGCTGGCAAATCCATAAAACCACGGCTCAAAAAATTCAGTCGCGGCTCGGCTCGCCAAGTAGATATATTCCATGCCTGTAGTAGTGAATTGTAGATATTGCATGCTGATGGTTGGCAGTGCTACGCATTCTGCCAAGTCGCCATCTTGGGATGGGGAAGAAGTCACATCATTTCCGCCGGCGAACTCACTGTCACAGAAATTTCTGAGTTGAGAATCTGTCAATGTCAATTCTAGACCCGGTGAAGCACCCGGGACCCGGGTCAACAAGATCTTGACCCTCAGGCCTCAGATGAATTGATCATTGAGATTGAGGGATAGTTAACACCATGGTTTAACTATATAGTTCAACCATGGTTAACACTTGCACAGTTAAAGAAAATAGAGAGGTTTGCTGCCACGTCTTCTCACAACGGTTCAGGCTCCCCAAAAAATTTTATCCATAACATGCGCCATTCGTGAAATCGCCAATCGTAAACGTCGCACTCTTTGTGTTTCCAAGCATGGTGATTGCGATTTAGGAAAAATACAAATATTTTAAGTGAATGCGTACACAACCAACTTACACACATAAGTTACAATTTTGAATTAATTTATATCAAGAGTCACTTGTGGAACATTCGATACAATTTTTGTTGATGTGATGTTAGGTAAATTATTGCTCGCAATAAACTGACGCACGCACTGGTCACTTCTGCGACAAATATTTCGGAGCAGGTTTTCCACGCATAAATTTGCCATATAGAAATCATTTTGACCTAATTAACAACAAAATTTTATATACATTATAAACCTGCTATGTTTGTGATAATTTATTTTCGTTTATAAAAAAATACGCTGTCTAAGTAGGTCTTCAAATACAGTTTTCAAGTCTAAATGGATTTAGACCTGATTAACAATGAATGAATCTATTTACTCACGATGCAATGTTGCGAGTGTCAATTTTTTCACGTAGTACACTAAATGGCAGCTATACGTGGCTCCCTTTGCAGCTTAGCGTTTAGCTTACTAGGACGTAAAGATGATGCGGATAAAAAGCCCCTGTTCACAGGGTTCTATATCGGGGCTGATTCTTTAAATCATGTAGATGATCAAATAATATGATTAAGTTCAAGCATTTGAAGGTCTCCCAACAATACGCACTTATTTGCGAGAACACATACCGGTACGCATGTAGAGTAGTTAGCTTCCATGTGCATCTCGTTCATCACGAGAGACGGACCGACAAGTGGTTGTTAAAGTTCTTACAAGAGAAGATCAATATGATTAAGCTTTGTTGTCTAAAATCATATTCAGTGAATCCTGAATTTTTCGTACAGCAGTTGAATCAATTTTTGCACCGCCTTCCCTACGACCGTGCCAAAAGGGCATCGTACTTTGCACCGGGAAGAGCTCTGAGTATCTGCTTAGTGTTTACGTGCTTTTAGTGCATATATAAAAAAACTATGCCAAAGTCGTACAAACATTAGAAAACCCCCAAAGCAGCAAGCAAGAGCTGTGGCAGGGTGGCCCAGTGGTTAAGGTTCTAAGTACCAAGATTAAGCAGAGGGGCGGGTTCCATCCCAGCTCTGTGCGATAGTTTCTGGCCAGAATAGGCAAGGAGGCCTGACTGTTAAGGAGCTCGTACACAGGGACAGTACTGGCGGCAAGTAGATCAGAAAAATGCCAAATGTCTGCCGCTTGGTGTCTATCCCGCAAGTAAGCTTAGACACTAGACAAGTAATTGAAGCAGTGTTTAAGCAAAGCAAAAATTGAAGCAGTGAGTTGCGAGTTCACGCCGGCAACAAGCTGTGGATGTTCTGCGACGTTAAGAATCGGCGACAGGCCTTCGGCCTAGTGAACGCTGAAACCGCTAAGAGAAAATAAAAGGGGAAATCGAGTATTCCAGCAAAAGGCTGTGATATCATCAAAACTTTCGGGTTTACAACTAACAGCGAATCAATTATCTCATTCAATATTAATAAATGAAAACTTAAAGAATCAATTCACGATGGTGCAATGCGAATTAATTGCGAAGAGAAAGAACTCTATTCATCTTAATACGTTCCAGAACTTTGCCATTTTTTTCTCATTTCAATTCACTGTTTTACCTCTTAAACGGCTGACATATGGAGCCATGAAGCGAAAAGCATTTCCTTGAAGAAAACTAACATTTCACAATGCGTCTAGTTGCCATTGCAATTTTCAAATAAGAAATAAAGTCTACATGCAAAATAAAACCACTTTTAGAACAAAATCCGGTTTTGAGGCAAAATCATGTTCTGTAATTCATTGCTGTCGCCACTCACATTATTTTACCTAAACAACGAAGCTCTTGGCAACACCTGATCAGAGGAGAATAATTCAGTCCGAAGTAATGAAACCAGCAACAAGATCATTTAACGGTACACGTTGACGTGTCCAGTATAATAACACTGCAATGCCGGCGACATAACATAAAATGAGAGGAAAGCGTTTAAGAGGTAAAATTACATTTTTCTCCTCGTAAATGAAATAAAAACTGCAAATCATAGAACCTAATGTGGATTATTTCAGATTTTATAAACCCTCTATCGAACGGAACTACTGCACGAATAACGTTTGGGACAAATGCACGCACATAATAAGACGAGACAGCAATGGTGTACACACAGGAAATAATTTGTCCCATCTGAAGGTGAGCAATGAAAGACACATTGGAACATTAGATAAGCGCTAATAAAATACACTGGAAAGTACCTTTTTTTCAAGCTCAGAACAGAGGATTTTTGCATCATCTTAAACCTCCTTTCAGCGAGCCGGTATTATTATGTAACAAGAACACTTGAGGGTCCTCTCATAAATCTCTCAACATACAACTTCCTTCGGAAAAGTTATTTAACAATAACAAGGCTACGCTTAAATCGAATACTAACTATTCTCACTGGGAACTTTTGTAGGCCTTTCATGATCTTTAAATTTAATACATGTTTCGGGACCCAGGGTGATTTCAGTAGAACTCTCCAAGAAAACCTTCACTTTTGAAGGAACTCGATCTCCTGAGGCCTCTCTTCTTTCTCTTTTTTCAGCTTCGCCCAAGTTCAGGGCGAAGCAGGAGGGCAAGTGACTGGCTCCTTCATTCTGGCCGTGCTCAGGATGCAGGTTTTCAGTGTCATCACACAGGCCAAGTGTAGAGTCAGAAGACGATGACTTGTTGATGGACACAGCTTTCTGATTTTTAGCTTTACTTCTATGGCGTCCACTGTTTGCAACAGAACGCTGATGCTCCTGACGAAGAAGTCGAGGTGTCTTTGAAGCTTCGTTCCCTAGGTGCTGGTACTTCCGGGATCCGGCAGCCGCGACAAAACCGTAGGAGTCGTCAACCAATTCATGTGCATGTAGATAGACCATAGCAGCGGCTTGCTCTGCATATCGTCGGCTCTTTTCTATGCAGCTTGTTTGATAAATGACGCCATCAAGTTCCACGTGACCAATGAAGAAACGATCTTTATTATGAGCAGAATATACAGGTTCTGCAAGATCGTTCTGAGAAACGTACCGATTCATCACCATCTTTGGCAAGTCAGCGTCCCGGAAATTGCCTCTAATGAACTGCATTGGCATTTGAACCGAGATCAACCTCCCGCTAGCGTCCGTCTTGCGCACCACTTCCACCTCATTCCTGCTCTGGTGACCCCATCTTCTTTGGTCGGTGAGTTCGACGCAAGAACCTATGCTTTCAAGTTTTCGTTGGCGATCTTTCAAGGCAGCGGCATACTCATCATCAAGATTCCAAATTGTCAGGATTTCCTTGAATGTTTGAGTTTCTAGGAATGCTTTGCCCCGCGGAGACTCTTGCAAGTCTCTCAGCATGTTTTGGACTGTGTACTTGGTGTAAGTAAAAGGGTTGTCAAAATAGATGCAATTACGTAGATAACTTCGAATAACCGTATCTAGAGGGAGCAGCCCTGAAGCTCTTAGTATAGAACAGTTCCACATAACAGCACGAGCGATCATAACGCTGCAGGCATTGGTTCGTTTTTTAAACTCTTCAATGTCCTTGTACGTATTTATTTCTTTCGACCCACCATTGGCAATGACAGGTATTGTCAGCACCTCAGTAACTCTCTTGATTACATCGTCGTGGTTGCTGTGTTGAGGCCGTTCATCCTTTGTTCTGCCGTGAATTGCGACAGCCGCAACCCCGCATTTTTCGATCATCCGACACAGTTGTAGGGTGTCTTCCAAGGACGGTAAAATTCTTATCTTGCAAGTCACAGGCACATTCAGTTCTTTCACCAGCGTCTTCAATATAGCCATTATTTTACAGGGGTTAGTCAACAAAGCAGCTCCCATGCCCCCTTTGATACTAAACTCTTTAGGGCATCCCATGTTGACATCAATTCCTGCAACGTATGGTTCTAAAAAGCGTGCAACCCGCAACGCCCTGTCAGGGTCACTGGTCCCTATTTGGACGACGAGTTTGTCTCGCTCTCTGTCGCAGGTGCTCAGAAAGATCGTGCCGTCAGTGCGATCGTAGAACTCGGTGGTGCCGAGGCCAACTGCACATGACAACGATTAATCAATGATAAATAAATAGGCTGTAAGAAGATACAACTCAATGTGTCCAATATCTCGAAAAAATCGTGCGATGAGCTGGAGATAACACCCTAAACTTCTGCAGAATAATTGTTTTCGGTTAAAAAAGGTGACATCTGTAATGAAATAATGAAATAAACGGAAGATGAATAAACTCCTGAATGACATCATGTTTCATGAAGCTCAAATAAAAGTAAAAAAAGACACGTGGAAATTGAGTTTCAATCGAGTGGAAACAAAATCACTGATAGAACAGATTCATGATTTTGATAGTATGTCAAGAGTAAGTTAGAGTCATTTCACTTCTGTCAATGCTTGTTCAGGGTTCAATTGAAAAAAATATTATTGAACATATAGGTATATATTTTTATGCCATTACCATTTTCCCGTTTGTTGGAGCGTAATATTTTCCAATCAATGGTTTCTTCTGAGTAGACAAGATCTGCTCCATATTCCAGAGCCAGGAGACGAAATGGCAATGTGCACACTCTCACCATGGGAGCCACAATTATCTGAAATATTTAACTGATTTAGACCGGGAATTGAAAACATGCCTATAGCTAAAAACAAACCCAGTACATCAATCATTTGACCCCGCGCCTTATTGTTACAATATGTGCTGCTCATATGTCAACTTTCTCACAGCTGTCGCGTCTATTTTTACTACCGCTATGAAGGCGCCACTCGAGCAGTGCTAGCCCTCGCTGCGTATGGGAACGAGGTGAGAGAACCTTGACGCTGCCGCTAACGCGAAACCCTCTCTCCTTAAATCCTAGAACCTGGCAGCCCGTCGAGCAGCTGGAAGCTAAGATTCTGTGGGACCCGCAAGACCCAAGTCTTCCTTCGTTTACCAGGAAATGTGTAAAGACAAGCACGCTTATGCCCGCGATACCAGCAGGGCACACTTGGCTATGTGCGATGCCTACGGGCCTGTCCGAGAAAACCAATGATCGTTAGCCGATCCCGATCTATCCCGCTCGCCACTCAATCAGCTCATAAGTTTTATCTTCATCTTCACCTAGCGGAGCATCACAGAAACTTTTTGCCGCCAATTCACGTCACTTGTCTTTTCGGCCCAAATCACGCTACAAAATTTATTGCATTTTGTTTAGGCACTAGATTGAGCTGCATCGCAAGCTAAAGACGCTGCGAGCAACCGCCTTGCCTCGTGGAGACAGTTGAACTGAAGAAACTGCTTCTTCTCCACCTGAAACCATGGTCCACCAGGACTCAAACTCCTCAATAACCTTTTTTTATGTGTACGTTTTCAGAACACAAATTCTCCATCGTCTCAAATGCAGAGTAGGAATCCAGAACCCAGGCTAAGCTCATCCATCTAGTGCTCTAAGGCTACAAACCAGGTATCAGCTTACAACATGGCAGCAGCCGTTGCTCTATCAAGACGGTTCAACTCAACAAAGCTTTTATCTAAATGACTGCATCCACTTTGCCTCCATCACAACCTGGTTATGTGGTCAGGCGGTTTCTGCTACCTCAAAAGCACACTTGCTTCCAGCCTGTATTTCAGAACCCAATCAATATAAATTCATGGGAGTTAACCAATCAGTTACAATCTTTTTAACAATTTAGCTTCAACAGGCCTGTCACAGGTCCCAAACATAGTGACAAATGTCCATGACCCTTCTGCCTACCATTTAACTTTGGCAAGCAGACAAATAAATAAGCAGAAATCAGAATTTATTAAACTGGTAAAAGAGAATAATAGCAATTCTAAGATACATATACTCCTGAGCATTCTCTAGAATCTCTCCTCAAGGACATGTCAGCTAAATGGTACAATAGTGGTTTACACACAAACCCAACATTTCCATGAATACATACATAATAACTAAAAATAATATGGAAATATAAGTAATTCTTCAACCTCAAACATTTTATACAATTAAAATGAACTGATTCTTTAGATAACAAGAAATATTGAAGCTGTTATTTATAATAGCCTTCACAATTCTCTAACAAAATTAAATCCTCTGGTACTATTATTTCCCTGTTTAGATGGTCTAAACTTTATATTAGGAATAAATCTGAATTAATTTTTTGAATGGGATTTCCACTTTAAAGGCCATATTACTCCAGGATAATATACCCAGTAATATAATACAATTCTCATAAAAAAATTATACAGTGACACACTAAAGCACCTAATAATACAAACAATTTATTTCTTTCAAGTGCAAAAATTGCATTTCTGTTTCTTCAAAACCATCTATACCAAAGAAGTGATTTTTGTTTTTTAATTTTTTGTACTCTTATTCGAGTCATAGATCAGCCACCACCCTTTGCCAATCATAGCATTTGGTTCCAAACCTTTATCCATTGACATTAAAATATGAATAAGAAAGAAGATGTTATTGAATTTTTCTGTTGAATTTTAAACAGAGAGATTTATACATATAATAGGCATATAATCAACTATAAACTTGGAAGGTAATTGAATTGAAAATTCATATAATGACTCACCTTGTTTCTGTATTGACCACAAAAATGCTCAGGAGCCTTCAAATCCTCCGATAACACTACTGGTGGTGCTGATTTAAAGTTCTCCATTGAAATGTATATATCTACTGTCTATTTTGCAGAATACCTTGAGAAAAATTGCTCCTTTTACTTTTCTGAGTGTTTTATATAAATATACCTGTATGAAAATTCAAATAGATATGAAGGCAATAAATCACTACAGATAACAATAGAGCATATTTTCTTACATTTTTGTCAACAATATTAATAAGTTCATTCAGTTGACATTTTGTTAACAGCTACAAAATGTATGTACTTAATCACACATTTTATTTTACTTGGTCATAGGGGTAAAAATTATGACTGTCTAGAGCAAGAATTAGGACTCAATAGCACCAATAAAGTCACAGGATCTCAGTGAATCTCAAAGCTTCCTTCTCAGTAAAAGGACCATTTTAACCAATTTTGTAGAATTGTTGACAAATGCTGCTCCAAAAACTGTCAATAATATTGATATATATATATATAAATTTTATTTCATATATACCATCAAACAGGGTAATAAGGGACAGGCAGGATAAATTGGGACAGTCACCCCACATTTTGTAGATATGTTGTACTAGCAGCAAAACTAATCAAAATATTGCAAAACTAATCAAAATATTGCAAAACTAAATATAGTGGCATAAACACAAGTTCAACACTTTTACTTTCTATGTAGCATAAAGCAAGTTAGGAAATCATACATTTACTAACTTTAAAAAATCCCTGAAAAGTGCAGTGATTTTGGAAAAGTACCACTGCTAAGGTCTGTAGCAAAAAAATATATTTGCCATATAAAAAAAATTTTACTTGGATAACAGATTAACAGTTGCACACAAATGTTGGCTTAAAAATGTGATTGACAGAATTCACATATCTCATTCTGAAAAAATGGCGGCCATTTCTGCAAGAGGGACACCCCTAAAAACACATTTACAGTAGAACCTTGATTAGCAAAGGCTCCAGTTAACAAAAAATCAATCAACAGCAAAAAAAATTTGATTACAGAAATATATACCTTGCTCAGCAAAAATATTTCATTTAACAAAAAATTGATGCATCATCGGTCATCTCAAAACTGTGCAGAGAATGTCATAGATAGAATTGTGCACCAGGCTACATAAAATAAAATGTAATTAACCTAACTATGATTTTTTCCTCCAAAAAATATGACGGTTCTAGGTTGTCACTAGAATATTCTTTTCTGTTTCAGGTAGGCATGTTTTTACAATTTTTTTTGTTTAGTGAATTCACTGGACCCAATTTAAATGGTGTGAAATTACAAGCCATCCTGTAAGCTTACAGACCAGACTGTAAAGCTAAAGCATGGCACAAGTTACAGATACTGAAAAGTGCTATGACGCAGCTGTAGCGATATGAAGCTTGCAGTGGACAAGGTTGTTGTAAATGCTCAATAGCATGGTTAGAGATGTGGATGATAGATACAGTAATATCAAACCAATAATCAATAGTATGAAACTATGGATATGGCATAGGTACCGGTACCTCTCATATCAATAAAGGAAAAACAAGTTAAAATCACAGAAAACATCCTTTATTCTTTGATTTCTAGATACATCTACATTCTACAAAGGAAAAGAAGGACTTCAGATTAGTACTGTTAGTAATAGATGAATACACTCTGCAATCTGCATGATCCAAACATTTTAAACTTAATTTTATTTCAAGTGTCCCAGACTACCCCATTTCCAGGGGAAATTTGGGATGCTTTTATTTTGTGTTTGCCTGTCTGGCACTTTACAAAAAGCATATGGAATTTTTTTGAAGATGCCATACAATAGCCCATGCGCCATGGTCAGGAAGATGTGCCAGGTGCACGGGAATTTATTTTGTCATTTTAACGACCTGCGCGGTGCGCCGTACTATGCTGGTAAAAAAATGCGCCGTGCGCAGTACTTTAGAAAGCTAAAATAGTTTAAACATGGACGCGCGGCAATGCAAATTACGCAATCGCACTGACCGTACACACAAACGTGTAGGTATCCGCATTGTGTTGTGGTTGGATATGAGTTAACTAGATTGCTAACGCCTCAACTCAGGTTCTATGAGTCAGCACAGTTATGAATATTCGTTCATAGATCACAATTCAATCGGACACGGATTACAAAACTAAAGAAGGCAACATGGCTCTAGATGTGCCATCGGTGCCTTCTAATGAATGACTGGAGTCTGGACTGGTTGCGGCAAGTAGGGCATGAGTCAACAGTACGAACCTGCATGCCAATGTTGGGACTACATTCCCGACATCCTCCCGGCCGGCAAAATTGACACGATCAATACCCAATAACAATGCGCGTAAATGGATTATACAAATTAGGTCAATACGGCATAATTACAAAGCGTTATTAAACTATGCGATACAAAATATGACTACAGAACTATGCTTCTAAAATAAAGTTCTAGATTTCTCATTCACCAAATTTCCGTATCAAGAAAAATCATATATTATTGAAAGATAATTAAAGGCACACTGTACTGAGTATTATGTCTGTTCCTCCACAAACTGCTCGTGCGCGACAGCGCGACGTAGAAGTGATGGCCGAAATTGCGCGAACACGTGCGCGAAGAGAATCAATTTTCATTATACTGTGCCAACTGTGCACAGCAATAGCTTAAAAAAAGTGAAAATGCGCGGGAAAATTCACCGAAAACATACATCATCCTGAGTGTGGCCCATACGAAGAGCAATAAAATGAGCCCAAACTTGTTTATGAAATGGGTATTACTTCAGATTAAGTGCATACAAAAAAAGGGTATTTTTTTTATTACGTATATGTTTTTGGGGTGTAGATTAAGAATCTGAAATCCGTTTTTGGCGGTCGGCATCGGAAAACCAATTTTTTATATAGTTTCTATAGAAAATGACAATGGGGGACCCGTGGGGAACCGGGGGTTTTAGATGGGGGGACACGCCTGAGGCTCTAATCCTCAAAAAAAAAAAAAATCTAGCAAAAATTGGCAAAATCAGCAAAAAATTGGAAAAAATCAGAAACTTTTTTTTTACTGGAAATGATCTATATCAATCTGGGAATGGGAATGACTGTAAACCTATGTAAAACCCAAAAATCACGCTAGATTAGGAAAAAGTTTTCCATTTTTTTCCAATTTTTCACCATTTCGCCAATTTTTGCCCAATTTTTTTTTGATGAATTAGAGCCTTGGGCGTGTCCTCCCCCTAAAGCCCCTGGTTCCCCACGGGTGCTCCATTGTCGTTTTCTATAGAAAATATATAAAAAAATCGGTTTTTCGATGCCGACTGCCAAAAATGTATTTCAGATTCTCAATCTACATCTCATAAAACATATAATTAAAAAAAACACCCTTTTTTTGGATGCACTTAATCTAAAGACACTAAAGTATTACCATGAATAGGATAGTTACTAAAGTAACAAAACTGATTATATGATATATAGTCAGATGGGGTAAGACAGGACCGAAATCACTAACAGGCATGTAGCATCTATACCATGAAAAACTAAAAAATCCTAAACTTATCACAAGGTGTGGTTATGCAATGGGCTTCAAAACTACAACTCAGACTTTTTGCATGAGACAGTTTTCTGTACAGATTAAAAATAGTGAGCTGGTCCCATCTTACCCCATTGGGGTAAGATGGGACCAGGCTGGGGTAAGTAAGGACTAACAGGTAATTCTTATGTTACAAGGGTTTTAGTAAAAATATAAATCTGATATTCAATATTATCCATCTAGAAACACATTATTTGATTGAACAACCACTTGTTACTGTTTTGTGTTGCAGGAAGTCAACTCTAATATCAGTCACATTGGAGTTTTTGCCATGAGAAAACTTTGTTAAGCATAGAAATAGTAGGTTGGCTTTGATTCATTGTAGAGCACTGCCAAATGCTACATGTATATTCCATTAGTGTCTTTGTCTGAAAATTTATCAAATTGGTAATAAAACCAATGGATAATAACTTAAGAGTCGGATGTCATGTGTTTTCTTGCTAACTGCATTTGTGGTGCACTTCTTCAAACATAGCCCATGCCCTCTCACAAAATTGTGATAATTATTTTTTATGTTTCACACAATGATTTTTGAACTCATCGCAACTGATTTCCGGACAAGCTTCGCTGCATCGTATTCCATCCAACGCACCGGAAACCATACTTTTTTTCTAAATAGTTGGCCGAAGACTGAGAAATATATTAAATGCAAGAATTTCAATCTAAATGCGTCGGCAAGATCTTCTGAAGGTGAAAATTTGGCTACTGAAGCGTCACCAAAGATCTTGCAATATTCATCCACTCTCTGCAGTCTGCCCAGGCCCCAGTGGCTTGAGATGACCTGCCTACATCCACAAACCTGGCCAAAAATTTTTTTGTCATTAGACAGAGCTTATTTCCCAAACAGGGTTAATCATAGTGGCAAAGCAGAGAGTTTTTTTTGACTCTCCCACAAGTTCATTTGTGAGTCCTATAAGTAGACCAGTAAAGTATCCTGGATACCAGCAGTATTATGCATAAGAAATTGATTTAAATCTTGGGTAAATTTGGAAATTAAAAATGAACTGATTCTAAAAAGCTGTGGTTTGCCACTATGGGGTTAACTATTTTGTAATTTGTGACCCTTCTTTACATACCTAGGTTTCTTTGAAAATTAGCCAGAAATTCATTAGGTATTTGCAGAAGAGGGTTGAAACAAGCACCGAAATGACAGGCAATGATTGCTCTAACATATTCTTTTGTCAAAATAGATTCAGTGCAATTAGAATGCATGTCATGGGCCGGTCCTTTCTTACACCCCATGAAGGCTGCGATCCTGTCTTACCCCATTTGACTATACTCTGTACTCATTATACTTTTATACATGTAAAACTCAAACAGGTAACGGGGTAGCTAATAGCTAATTACTAATAACTTAAAAACTAAAAAAGGGATCGTTTTGTTTTGAGCGTTTTTGTTAATGACTTCTTCCCATGAAACATTTCATGTATCCTTGATGACTGATTAACTAATTATTTCCTTATATCAAGATGATAAGATCTTTTGGAGTCAGATCAAGCAGAAAAGTTTCAACTTGTTGTGACTTGTGAACACACGAATTGTGAACTGAGGTCGGATAAATCCAGCATAATAAGTGCATACTGCATAGCAATTCAAGATTCAACATTCA